AGTAGGGTGGTACATAGTAGGGTGGTACATAGTAGGGTGGTACATAGTAGGGTGGTACATAGTGGGGTGGTACATAGTAGGGTGCTTACATTGTAGAGGGGGTGGATTGGGATCAGTGGATGTAATGTATAGATGTATTGTATCTAATTATTCAGATGATTAGATAGAGTGAGTGATTAATCGGTCTGATCTGATCCGCAACTTAACCTACCCTCTTCCCTCTTCACCCCTAACGAGTCAGATAAAATCTCACGATAGGGTCCTAAACCCCATACCTACATCCTCTAACCACCAAACCAATCAATTAATTAATTACTCTCCGCCACCCCCAACACCACACACTCCTCCCCATACGGCAACCCCGCCCTCCCGGGCACAGGCACCTGCAAACTCGCCACCTCTTCTTCCCCCTCCCCCACCGTAAACTCCCCCCAACTCCACTTCTCCCTCACCCGCAACGTACTCTCATACCCTCTCGCCCTGAGATACCCCATCTCCACATTCGGATCTCCCGTCCTCGCAAACGCACCCCACAGATCCTGCACCAGGTTCGTATACGCTACATCCTCCGGCGCCCGGACCGGCAACCCGAAGAGATAATACGTGCCAAACACCTCGTATAAATCCCCCGAGTGACATCGATAATATGGCGTCTCTGGGGATCCGACGGGGTACGTGCAGAGATCGTACCAATCATAGTAATTCAATCCGTAGGCGCGTTGATGGAGGTACACGTAGAGACGGTTGTATGCGTGCGCGGCAGCACCCACGGAGACGAATTCCTTCGCGTAGCAGGTCATGGCGGCGGGGGAGACGACGTGGATGGAGGCGTTGTAGGGGGTGGTGTAGTGATTCCAAAGAGGGGAGGTGAGGACGGCATGGGCTTGGGAGGGGGTGATGGTGTTGGTGGTGATGAGGGTGTGCAGGGCGGCAGGGAGGCTGGTGGTGTTGGGGGACAGGGTGGTTTGGAGGATGGATTGGGCTTCTTCGGGCATGAAGCCGGTGAGGAGGTTGGTGGGGTTAAGGGCGCGGTGGGCGATCTGGGTGAGCGGGTAGTCGAGGATGTAGTGGTGGTCGATGACGGTGTCCCAGGTGATGGGGGAGCTGAGGTTGAGGAGGGTGCTGGCTGGGAGGGCTTGGAGGCAGTGGAGACGGGCGGTGCCGGTAGTGTTGCAGAGGGGTTGGAGGGAGGGGAGGATGGCGGCGGCGGAGGTATTGGCGGGTTGGACGTGGCCGGCGATGGATTGGGCGATGGCGTTGGTGAAGAGGCCTGTGGCGTGGGGGGTGGTGAGGAGGTCGATTACGGAGGAGGCACCGGCGGATTGGCCGAAGATGGTCACGTTGTTGGGGTTGCCGCCGAAGGCCCGAATGTATTTTTGGACCCATTTGAGGGCTTCGATTTTGTCGGTCAGGTCGAAGTTGCCCGGGATGGTGGCGTCGTTGAGACTGAGGTAGCCGAAGATGTTGAGGCGGTAGTTGATGGTGACGAGGACGACGTCGTTGCGGGTCACGAAGCTGTCGCCGTCAAAGGTCGAGTCGGCGCCGGTGCCTTCGGTTTCGCCGCCGCCGTGGATCCAGAGCATGACGGGTCGGGAGGAGGTGTCGTGGGAGGATGGGAGGGAGGGGGTGAAGACGTTGAGATGCAGGCAGTCTTCGCTGTTGCCCCAGGGGTTGAGACCGTAGGTGTTGCCGTCGTACCAGCCGGATTGGATGCATGCCGGTCCGTAGCGAGTGGCGTTGACATAGGGTTGTTGGATCCATTCCTGGGCGTATTTGAAGCGTAGGTCTCCAACTGGGGGCTGCGCAAAGGGGATGCCCATGAAGCGAAAGGCCATGTGATCGCGCAAGCCCTCAAAAGTCACGCCGTTGACACTGGCGTTGTGTCGCGGGAAGACGGAGTAGTCGGTGTCCACTTGCTTGACAAACTCGGCGGAATTGGAACAGAGGAAGGGAAGAGCAGCAGAGGAGGTGTTGACGAGTTCTCCTTGCCAGGTGGTGGGATGGTCTGGGCTGCAGGACGACCAGAAGAGCTGGTCCGCGTCGATGTTCTTGAGATATTGCTGGTATGTGAAGGAATAGTGGAAATCCTCGTAGCGGTTGCAGCTGAGCAGCGTTTCATTGTACTGTGCACATGTGGCTTGCGCATCGTGGTAGGTCAAGGCATCGCTGATGAACAGCGCGCTGGGCTTTTCGGCATGGGTGGTCCAGTTGCCGTCATTCTGGAAGAAGATGGTGAGGCTGGCCTCTACTGATACGCAGCTGGACAGCACGCTGAGCGATACGAGGAATGTACGACCTCTCATGGCGATAGTCAGGAATTCTGCTGCTGCAAAGGTCCATGGCTTCAGTATTTATGGGAAACCGCATTTTTCTTCTGGCCTGCTAGAGGAGGATAAAGTCTGTTCCGCATGGAGATGTGGGGTAGTTAATCTATTCTCTCCGCCATACGGAGATGCCTCCCGGGAAGATTTGACGGCTGCCTCCGTGACCCTGCTGGATTTAGCATCCTCACGGCTGTCACTATAGCAGATAGTATGCAGCGCATCAAGGCATCCTAGTGCTATGGTTCACATCACGGGAAGATGCCCTAAGCTATCCACTGAGCTTTCATCTCCACACTCACGCTCCGATATCAATATATGGCATCGTTCGACTTTGCTGCAGAGCAACTTGCTTAGAACTATATATTATAGTTATCGCCTGTTCGACAATGGGGTTCACGTGACGGGCAACTGTGCCGACTACCGAGGCATCTCCGCTTTGGCATCGACATGAATACCATCTACTTAACATCTATCCTTCTTACCAAACTTGTATCACATCCGGGTATCAATCCTGACCCCCTCCGCATCACCTCATCCCAACCATCAGTGACATAGTATACACAACCACATCTCCACCCTAACCTACAAGGCTACAACACCATGCCAGTTGCATCCCTCTACCTCCTCTCCCTCACCACCTCCGCAACCACCTTCCTCCACGCCCTCCGAACCACCCGAACCATCCTCCTCAGCTCCCGACCCCGCCACATCATAATTCACCCCACCATCCTCGACCCCGCCATCCTAACCACCACCCCCTGGGACCTCCTCATCCTCATCCAACCCCCCTCATCCCCAAACACTCCCCCCATCCCCCCTCCCCTCCACTCCCTCATCAAAACCCAATACCACCTAACAATAGGCATCCCCTCCAACCTCCTAACCACCTACGCCACCCGCAATGCCTCCCTCCAGCACTCCGCCCCCTCCATCCCCCTCACCGGCTCCCTAGACCACGCCCGTCGCAACAATCCTAACCCAAGCGCCCAGACCCTAGACCTCTCCCCATTCCTCCTCTCCTTCATGGACGAGCTCACCCTCCAACACCCCGGCCCCGTGACCATGCTCAACCTCCTCCACTTCCACCACCCGGATGGCAAAAAGCGCTACTATCAATACGGCCAAGCGTTTATCCCAGTCGCAGGGAAACGCGGCGGGAATGCAAAGATAGTGGGGAACGTCGTGAAACCCAAATCCGCATCTGATGCTGCTATGGGGCCGGTGGAGGTAGATTCCCGAGGCGACTGGAGTCGAAAGGAAGAAGAGTGGTGGAATGAAATTTCCATCGTGCATTATCCGTCCATTCGGCATTTTTGTGATATGCTTGCTGGGGAGGATTATCAGGAGATTAATGAGAGGTTTCGGGTGGCGGTGAGTGGTTTAGTCTTGGTGTGGGGGGGGTGGTGTTGAGGGGTTGGGAGGCTAATGTGGTATAGGCGTTTGAGGGATACGTTTTTGTTGTGTACGACCGAGTTGGAGGTGGAAGGGGAGGTGGAGGTGGAGGTGGCGGGGGCGAAGCTTTGATTGTTGAGTTGGTGTGTGAGATTGTTCTGGTGATGGGCGTTGTGACTTTTTAGTGACTCCTCTACGGTTGAGCTTGGATTCCTCGGATGAAGTAAGCTTCTTGACTTGATGAATAGGTACAAAGACAGTGCCATCCGTGTATATACCCCAAGAGTAGACACCCGACCCCCAGGAACGAAACCTTATAGTAAGTAAGCACGATACTGCCTCCCACAGGAAGACCTGTATTTTGCAGTAATTCCGGCACAATTAAGGGGTGGTCTTGATGGCCTCGAAAAAAATTCAACGTTTGCGTTGAGACTGGTGATATTCTGAGCAGTCCGTGTGGTCTTCAGTAAAGCGTAAACTGTAGACATCAGGACAAAAGCATCATTCGCTTTGGTGAGAAGGTCCAGTTGATAAAGGATAGTCGCAAGTTGGGAGGCAAAGTCTGCGAGGAATGTCAGGCAGTCGAAGGCTCATCCACAGCCTGGGAAGCATGCTGGTTTTCATGAATTTGGCCAAGTTTCGAAGACTGGTATCAGGGCAGCACAGAGATCGAGATGATCAAGTGGAGAATCAAAGGGTCCAAAATCAGGTGGTAAAATGGCATAAGCGATACGAGACTCCGAGTGCTGGCGATTTTTGCATTTTTTTCTGCTCAAGTGGTAGCCCGAATCAATCTTGAGATTACAGACTGGTCGCTGCGGTATCGAGCTTATCATGGGAGATGATTTCAAGAGCTGTGTTAGTTTTCCAGAACAGTTCAGTCCGCCAAATTACTCAAGCTGACACACTCCTGGATAGAGAGTCTCCCACAATCACAAGCTGATATCTGGAAACTTGGTGGTCTACCCAGAAACAAGTATTATCATATTCCGAGAAACAGATATGGCAAGCATAATGCGCACATCAAGGTGGATATAAGCGTCACTTGAACAATGAGTTGCCATGGGACCTGTTCTTTGTATTAACGATCATAGAATTAGCGAATGTAAACGCACGATGCTGTTCGGGGAAGAGAAAAGAAGAAGTAGAGTATGGAGTAGATCGTATCGGTTGGTCCCGTGACTGCCTTACTGCTTAGTCATACGAGCTGAAAGCCGCCATCATGTGATCTCCTCGCGATGCTTCAGGAAGTCAGAGAGGGAGAGAACAGATAGGAAGAACGATGGTAAACTACAACAGCTGTACTCCGGAGTAGATACTACTGATGGGTCATTAAGCAAGTCTTGATTTCATACGACCGTAACCTCTATTAACAGGATAAATGAAAAAGCGAAGCCAGTGCCTCACGTTTAGAAGTCCTCGTCGTCGGAGACCTCCTCACCGCGCTTCTTACGAGCGAGACGCTCCTTTCTCTTCTTGCGGAGCTCGGAGGAAGTGAGCTTCTTCTTCTTCTCGACAACGGTCTGTGACAAAGTTAGCAAATGACTCGAACTAGCTTCAAAATCGAAAGAAAACTGACCTTGTTGCCCATGGCGTCCACCACCTCGGTGGGACCCTCCTTATCCTCCAGACGAGGACCGGAACCTTGTCCCTGAACCCAGTTGTGGCCGGAGGGGGTCATGCGGCCGTCCATGACAGCCCAGACTTCCTCGGTGAGGTTCTCGGTGAACTCCCGGGAGTGAGTGATGATGATGACACCACCCTCGAAGGACTTCAGGGCCTTGGACAGAGCACCCAGGGAGTCACGGTCCAGGTAGTTAGTAGGCTCGTCCAGGACGATGACGTGGGGGCGCTGCCACGAGCAGGCGGCGAGGACGACCTTGACACGCTGACCACCGGACAGACCGCGCATGCGGGAGTGGGAGACCAGCTCGGCATCGAGACCGAACTGCTCGCAGTGGGCCTCAATCTCCTTACGGACCAGGGGACGGAACTGACCGCTGGCCAGAGCCTCCTTCTGATCCACCTCGGCCACCATCTTGGCGTGGGACTGGATGATCTCGGAACGGGGAATCCAGGCGTTGTCGGTGGTCATCATGGGAGTCCACTTCTCGCTCTTCATGCCGATGTTGTCACCCAGCAGGAAGGAACATTCGTACTCGTAGCTGTTCTTGAACTTACGACGAGCGTGGATACCAATGACACGACGGGGCTGGCCCTCGATCTTGTAGATCTTGTCCATGGCCTTCTCATCCTCGTCGGTGACAATCTTGTTGGCACGGTCCATGGTCTCACGGTCCTCACCGGTCTGGAAACGCCACTGGATGTACTCGGAGGGAGTGGAGTCGAGGTGGTTATCGATGTGCGCGAAGGCGTGCTGCTTGATGTAGGCGATACGGATGTTCTCGTGCTGGTAGACCTCACCGGCGGTGGGGATCAACTCACCGGTCAGGACGTTGACCAGGGTGGATTTACCGGCACCGTTGGGACCGATGACGGCAATACGAGAGCCCAGGGAGACCTGGAAGGAGATGTCCTGGATCTGAGGGCGGGGGGTACCGGGGTACTGGAAGGTCATGTTGTTGACACGGATGATGGCCTTGGCCTTGGTCTTGACACCCTCGAGGAAACCGGGCTCGGGGAACTTGAACTCCAGCTCGGAGGCACCGAGCTCGTAGTAGGAGCGAGCGGAGGGGACACGCTTGACGAACTCGCTCAGGTTACCACGGTAACGCTTGAGCTTGAAGCGCTCGTAGTGGACGACGTGCTGGATGACGTTGTCCAAGAACTTGCTGTCGTGGGAGACGATAATGGACGTGCAGGGGGAGGTGCACAGGTAGTTCTCCAACCAGGCAACGTTCTTGACGTCCAAGTGGTTGGTGGGCTCGTCCAGCAGCAGGATATCGGGGGACTCGAAGACGGCACGGGCCAGAGCCAGCTTCATCTTCCAACCACCAGACAGAGAGGTGATGGGGCTCTCGAACTGCTCACGCAGGAAACCGAACTCCTCAAGCTTGGCCTCGACCTCGGACTGAGCGGTCTCGACACCGACCTCGCGGAGCTTCTTGATGGTCCAGCCGATGACGGTCTGCTCGGTATCGGCAGCGTCCAGGTCGTGCTCGACGTAGACGGTCTTGACCTCATCCTTCTTGGGGAAACCCTCGAGCTGCTCGTTGTTGATGGCACGCATGAGGGTGGTCTTACCGGTACCGTTGGGGCCGAGCAGACCGTAACGCTGACCACGCTTGAGGCGGAGGCTGGTCTGGTTCAGCAGAATCTTGGCACCGTAGGCCAGGGAGAAAGTGCAGTTGCACAGATCCTCACCCTCCTCCTCGTCGGAGAGGACGGCGTCCTCCTCCGCAGCACCGGGGGAGGCGCGCTTGCGGAGAGTCTCAGCGATGGGCTTGGCCTCCTCCTCACCGACAATGGCGGTGATGTAGGGGAGGGCGTTCTGGGTCCAGCTGGTGACCTCGGCGTCCTTCTCGTCAACGAGCTGACCAGCGATGGCACTGACGTAGGTGATGACGGGCTCGGACTTCTCAGCCTGGGCCTGGAACTTGGCGGACAGGATGTCCTTGAGGATGGCCGAGACGGTGGAGATGTCACCGGCGGTGGAGATCTCGGGGATCTTGTTGTCCTTGACATCACCGACACGGCAGAGGGTGTCCAAGGCCTGCTTGGTCTTGCCACGGGCCTCGGGGTCGGCCAGAGTGTCGAAGTTCTTGGTCAGACGGGGCATCAACTTGGGCAAGAAGGGAGCGACAATCTGGGGGTCCTCCACCAGCTTACACATGTTGTCGACGATGACCGCGGACTTACGCTTGATGGCGGTCTCACGCTCGACCAGACCACGGTCCAGCAGGGGAACCATGATGGCGAGGGTAGGGCCGGTGACATCGGAGACGAAAGTGGTGGCACCGAGCAAGTGAACGGTCTCGGGGACGTTCTCCGGCTTGGAGATACACTTGATGAGCTCGGGAATGAAACGCTCGATATCCTTGTTGACGATTAGACCGCAGACCTTCTCCATGGTGGCGTAGGCAGCCTTCTTGATATCGGCCTTGGTGTCCCACATGGCCTCGGAGACGACGGGGATCAGCTCGGGGACACGGAAAGACAGCTGAGCGGGGGAGGACTCGACGAGGGCGTTGATGCACTCGAGAGCAGCCAGCTTCTCCTGCCACTTCTGGGCGTTGGAGACGGACTCGAGGATGGGGGGAAGGATGGCCTTGACGGCGTTGCCGTTGACACCCTTGACGATGGCGAGGGCAGCACCCTGAGCAGCGTTCTTGACGGGAACCATCTTGTCACCGACGGCAGCGAGGACGGGGCCGAGGAGGGTAACGAGGTGAGGCTCGACACCAGGGGCGATGGTGGCGTGGGAGGCAATGGCCCGGATGGCATCGCAGGCACGCTCACGAACGACAGCATCCTTCTTGTTGTTGAGCTGCTTCTGGAAGGTCTCGACAGCCCTGATGCAGCACGGTTAGAACAGATACTTGGAAGCGGGGTCCGAAGAGGGGCAACCTACTTGAGGGGGAGGGTCTGCTCGGGGATGGGACCGCTGAACAGGTGAGCCAGGTTGTCGGCAGCAGCGTTCACCTCATCCTGGGAGGAAGAGATGTTGAGGTTCTTGATGAGGTCCTCAAGAACAGCGACGGACTGAGCCGTCTCCTTGCCGGAGACGGCGGGGACGGAGGAAACATCAACAGCAGGCATTTTGATCGTAAAAGCGCCGAAAGACGAAATCGTTAAGTCGGAAGAGGGAAGGAAAGAGGAGGAAGAGGGGCGAGGAAGAAGCGAGTTCTATTAGGGTATCTCGATAAGAGGTGGCGGGCCCACGAAAACTGCGTCTGAAAATGCACAGGACGCAGGAAACGCTCTAAAACGGCCACACGAAATCTAATTTTTGGGGTCCGAAGACGAGGAAAAAAACAAACACAATTTTTTGAGAGAAAGAGAGGACCAAACCTCTAAGAGAGATGAAGGATGGGAGGGAGGGAGATGAGGAGCAAGAGGGAGGGGGAGGGTAGGGCAGCTGGAATATTTATCACTTTTGTGGCTTTTCGCCGCCCGACTGCCTTTCCTCCCGCCGCCCAGAGGAAAAAATAAAAGAAAAATTTTTACAATCGTCCCGCCCGCCCTAGCCGCTTCCGGCCTAGAGGTCATGGCCACCACCAATGACATCTCGGACTGCACCTCCTTCCAATCTGCACCTGCTCATTCGTTGGCTGCCAGGCGCCCCCCCCCCCTTCCCGGTAACACTCGCTGCACTGCTGATTAAGCCGCAAACTCTCCAGGTTCCCTGTTCGGCCCATCCGAGGATGGCCTTTGAGATCTCACCAGGGTCGGCGATGATGGAACCATGCAAATTTTCTTGCGGTCGCCGCTCCGTTGGTCTTCCCCACCGTGAAATGTAGTCCCCTGGGTGACAGGTAGCGGAAATCATAGCTGGAGCGCACATGGTGGTCTCGAGCGACCGAGATTCATCCGGCGTCATGGGGGTAAAGTAGGGCTGCCCGGTTCATTACACCGTACATAGTACGTATGGGATGGGCTGCCAGCCAATCCTCATCCAGACCATTCATTATTTTTATCTTTCCGTCTGTTGCAATTGCAAGGATGATACAAGGGCCCCTGTTTCTTTGACAAGGCTGAGGTCAACACAGCCAGGTCTTACTCGGATGAATACACTCTATCAACACAAATTCTGACACAATGTATACGAAGTGCTCTTCACTAACAAAGAACCCCCCTTCACTATTACTTCAGTGGTAGGCTGCATCCTGCACATCCCTTGATAACGGCCTGACACGCCATGAATCCGGGGATGCAACCATCCTGATAACCCACTGCGGCCGGCTAGTTTCCGCCCCCGTGTAATCATGCGCTTGGTTGGCCCTACAGATGCTGCTGCTGCGTCTATTCCAGTCGCCACCTCAGATCATTCACGGAGCCAGGTGGCGCAGCCCGCTTTCCAAACATCCGACTCGTCGGGCAGAAAAGAAAAACAAAAATGTAAAGGAAAAAAAACTCTACGGGGTTAAAGTTACAGGGAGCCGTGGACTGCTCCAGATCCTTTTCCGTTTTTGCCCGCCCATCTGGACTGCTGTCCTCACAGCATGGCTACGTTGGCATCGCATCTCACTCCGCCCTAAGCGACAGGGGATCGAAGTACCTCTACATACTATGTATGTATTAATCCGAAGCATGGCCACCCCAGAATTGTGATCGACATACAGTAAGACGTAGACTTGGGGAATTCTGCCCAAGCATGGCCTGGTCATCAAGGGGAAGGAGCAATATGGTTTTGCGCCCGGATATTGTTCCCCAGAGAAAACATTGCTCCTAACACGAAGGGGCGCAGAGTGGTATTCGGGCATAATCCGGGGTCATGTCTGAAACGAGGTTTGTTGCAGAGACTCCGCATCACCGCCATTTGTCTGACTCAGGGGGTCACCGCAGTTAACTAATATTATTCTTTACCTTTCCTGGGCAGATATGATTGATCCGAGTGATCACCATCATTCCAAGCACCTAGTCTAGCCTGGTTGTTGACATGCAGACCAACGCCAACCCGGAGGACCGTGCCTATGTACGGTGTCTCTTATCGCCCTTATCGACCTATCGATATTTGAGTTCAAATCCTCCGGATCCATCCTGCCCTTATCCCCCGCGAAATTGAAGAGTGGCGACCGCTATTGCCACGACAGTGGTGGAAATAGGAACATTCCTGACCCGCAAGCACTACTGGTCAACCACCCACCTCATAATGCCACCACATAATCCCTACAGAGCACATCAGCACAGCACCACTTTTACGAGATGGCAAGGTATATAGAAACAAACAGTTGTCTACCTTTCTAAACTATCATGATGATCTCATGATGAGTCACCCTGTACCAGCATTGGACGGAACGTCCTATTCCATCCCTCAAGCCTCTGCCTCTTCGTCCCCTGGTACTCGAGATTAGCTTTCCTATACTTCGGCATCTCGGACCTACGCAAAAGTTGCAGGACAGTTGCGTCCCTCATAGTATAGACCTACGTAGATATTGTCGCTTTTATAACTAGCGACATAATGCAGTCATCTATAGAGTAGTCCTGACGCATTATGTGGACTCATACACTTCCATGGACCGGTGATTACCTAGGTGGCTCCATAAAAACAATAACATCGCCTATGTACCTTCCATACCCCCCCAACGCATAATTATATCAAAACTGCGCATACGTCTTCTATTTCTATCCATCGTCATTGTTGCCTAGCCTAGTGTAATGCTCCGGACAGCAGCCTCTACGTGACCTTGTTTGTCTGAACCGTCAAGGCTGTGAGTCTGCTAATTGTTTGTCGTTGAGGCTTTCATATATCATTACGCCGTAGGTTGATAGGGCTATTGGGCCTGCTTATTGTCTTGCGATGGTATGGATGTTTACTTACATATTAGTTATAATTATTTAGCGGTTACATTAATTCGGCAGTGTTATATGGTGACTGTTATCTTACATAGCATTAGGTCCTGGAATTGAGGCACACTATTCCTTGTATGTGTCTGGCTCGTACTGTGGACTGTGTGCTGTAGTAATTGCGAACTTGCTGTGAAAGGCTTAAATTGGAATAAATAACAAAAAAAGAAAAACAGAATACATCAACAGCATCATTGGTCTAGTGGTAGAATTCATCGTTGCCATCGATGAGGCCCGTGTTCGATTCACGGATGATGCACTTGAATTCTTTTTTTGCCTCTTCTTTTTCCCGCAAACATAGCCTCTCTTCACTCCTCTACGGCATTAGCACCATCTTGTATTTATTCTCGAGTTATATTCGTGGCAGGGGTCTATAGTAACAACTCATGTCATACACATGGAAGCCTGTAACGCTCCTAATGGCGTATAACGTGCCTTCAATTGTTCCCTCTCGTGAATGACGCAGTGACTTAATTTATGAATACAAGAAGGAAGTCATAACGGAAACTGTCACCAATAGCACTACTTCAACGCTGCATTGGACCCGAATTTCATACAAGGGAGTTTCATCGAAACTGCCAATTCACGAGGAATCGCTGTCACTAGAGGAGCTGGAGCTAGAACTCGAACTCGAGCTCGAGCTGGACGAAGCGGAAGACGATCCACGCTTGTGATAGCCATGATGCTTCTCCTTGTGCTTCTTACGCCTGTAAAAAGCTGATATCAGTCATGAGCCGTCGGCCAGTATGCAAGTAGCTTACAATTTACTTGCAATTTTCATTCCCGCAGCCCCTGCCAATGCACCTCCTGCGGCACCCAGAACTCCACCTCCCAGCTTATGGCCGAGAAAACCTCCACCAGCCGCACCGGCTACAGTAGATGCCAGTCCTTTCTCTCCCTCTAGAGCTGTGGTAACAGGAGGCCCTGGTGGGGTATTATAGTACGAAGCACTCTCCCCTTGCTGCTGCTGAACCTGCGGAGGGTTCATCGGGGTATGGTCATAAGCCATGGGTGCAGTTTTGTTGTCACTGTATTCGCTCACCGGCTGCTTTGCATCGTAAGGATATGAGTAGCTTTGTTGAGGGTACACGGGAGGATTGTTGGGTGACTGGCTGGGGTACTGATTGTCGGAGGGCTAGATGCCAATCAGCTCGATGTTTCTCGGAATCAAGGTCATTTCCCACATTCCATGAGACTATGGTATGGGAAATACAGTCGCCATTCAGCCACCGGGAACACTTACTGCAGCCATATTGTATGCATACTGGGGTGGCTGTCCATGTTGATACTGCTGTGGAGGGTATTCGCCAGGAGGGCTTCCATTTCCTCCACCAGGTTGCTGACCGTAGTAGCCATATTGGGGATTCCTGTATCGTTCATCGTAGTAATAATCGGGGTACGGGCGCGACATGATGGTAATGGAAAGTAACGAATTGCTGATATCGATGCTGTCACTTGATAGAATCACGACAAGAGCACTCAGTGTCCAAATGATCGAGTTTATTTAGCAGACCAACCTATATGGTGCTGCAAGGAAGGAGTAAGCAACGCGCCTGCCTCTTTTCAGATATAGAAACGCTTCCTATGAATACACGAGTTATAAAGAGACTATAGAACTCGCTTACCCACAAGTAAATTCGAAGTTATGGAGGAAATGCTGCGTACCTTTGAGAGGATTGACGCAGAATTACACTAAACAACAGAAATATAGTGGCTAACTCTTAAACAACGCCTGTATCGTTTTGCTGAGCGAGCAAAAGTATCGTAGTGGATACCTGATTGACCTGCCAGAAAAGGAGCGCTTCCTGTGAGGTGGATAGCTCAAGTCAACTCGGTCGATAGTCGTCTTTCTTATGTGGCAGTAATGTGGTTTGAGGACATGAAAGAAGCACAAAAAGATTCACTCACCAGGTGACATCAGCGTGTCTGACCAAATCGTGACCTGGCACGTGATGGCTCCCATGACAGGGGATCTTGTTCACTGCGGCGACTCATTTCCGCAACCCATGAGCAAGATCAATTTCCTACTGCCGCGCGGCGAATGTGGTATCTCGTTGATGCTAAATGACTATAAGCCCCAGACTCTGATTCCAAAGAGATGATAGCTCCCCTAAAATTGATGAATATGCCGCGTGGAGGAATCCTCGAAAGCCAGCATTCCAGAGCTCTTTGCCCGGCCAAGCGTGCTTCTCCAAACCACGTTCTATTGCTGGGTTCGTTTGATGACCTAAGTCTAGTCTCTCAGCGGTTGTAGATGAATTTATTTTCTCATACATATCTCTTGTAAGTCGACTCCTGCTCAAGATTTCTGTGCGCTTCCAGCTCACTTATTACTTCCACAGTAGAATACCCAACGGTGCCTGGTACACGCAGAGAACAAGGACTGCGTTTATGATGCCATCCTGAAGATGGGTTGGCATATATTTAACTTTAGATGCATCAACGAACGAACACTGACTTGTCCTGTCGCCACCGGGAATTAGAACTCGGAGTGCGGAGGGTTGATTTGACCGAAAAGCTGCTTCAACGCCCATTCCCCGAATACGTGCAGGTTTGTGTCACACAATTCCTCACTTAGCCCATCTGAAAACCATGGCATGTCAACGCATGATCGTCGACTTTCTGTACCACCGCTTGCACTCATGAAAGCTGATAGTATCACCATCACTTTTCGCACCTGCTGAAATCCACAACCCCCGCGCGCGCCATCAAGCACCATCATAAAGTTATAGCCATTTCAATTGTCAAGTCTACTTTATCTTTTAAGGCTATTTCTAACCTTGATCATGAATTTTAATGGCGAGCTATGGCTACAAGCAGCAGCGTTTCTCCTGGGCTTGCTAGTTCATAGTGTCTACTTTCGCGCTGGAGAACACCACCTCCATCCGATTCGGTATATCTATGTCTATGGTAGCCTGGCAGCTATAGTTGCGACTCTTTATTGGCCACAAGGAGTTCCTATTCTAAGATCAGGCGTCAAGTCTTTGGGTCTGATTTCCACACATCTGCTTGGGCTCTATTGCAGTCTGTTTTTGTACAGAGCGTTTCTACACCCACTTAGGCGGTTCCCCGGTCCTATCGCGGCACGAATGTTCGGATTCTGGCTTCCAGCCAAGCTTCTTTATCGGCCTCTTTACCGGGTCCTCGAAGACTTGCACAATACATACGGACCCTTTGTGCGCATAGGGCCATCCGAGCTCTCCGTCACAAATCCCGAGGCCGTCAACATTGTCTACGGGTTTAGGTCCGTTTGCACCAAAAGCCCTTTCTACGATCTTGGTGCACCAGTGCAATCGCTACACTCACTACGAAACAAAACAGCTCATGACCAACGCCGTCGAATTTGGAGTCTAGGATTTAGCGACAGGGCCCTTCGAATGTACGAGAAACGGCTTCGAGTCTACCGGCACAGGCTTATTGATCTATTAACAACGGTAGGCGAGGATCAGGCCATCAATATCAGCCAGTATCTCAACTGGTACAGCTACGATGTGATGAGCGATCTGGCTTTCAGCAGGACTTTTGGCATGCTGGAAGCAAGTGCCAATCACTGGGCGATCCAAATTCTAAATGGCATGCTCAAACCATTGGAATTTTCTGTGCCGATTTGGGCGCTTCGGCTGTTGGGATCCATACCGGGAATGAATAAGGACGCTTTACAATACCAGGAATTTAGCCAACGGCGCCTGAAAACGAGAATGGAGGTAAGTCTCTTGATTAGGCTTTCTTCCTATATCTTTGGACCACTTACAGAGTTTTAGGAAACGCCTGAAATACCTGATATCAGCTCATCGCTCCTCGAGGATTTGCAAGGAAGAGCCCCTACCACCCAAGAATACTATCATTTGCTTGGAGATGTTGAATTGATAATTGCAGCCGGAAGGTGAGAAAGCTCTGAAATAACCTAGCCAGAAACGCGTGCTCACCAGAAACAATAGTGACACTACCGCGGCAGCCCTGATCACAGTTGTCTACGAGCTGGCCAGACATCCGGCACAAGTACAGAAGCTCCGTGCTGAACTTACTTCCTGTCCGGTAGAGCCTAACGGGGAGTATATGCACGAGAGGATTGCAGGCCTGCAACATCTAAATGGATTCATTAATGAGGTGCTTCGTCTCCACCCGCCAATTGGAAGCATTATCCCCAGGCAGACACCCCCGGAGGGCATCGATATTGACGGTGTCCACATACCAGGCAACATGATAGTCTCTTGCCCGCAGTGGGTGATTGGAAGATGTGAGTACAGTCTCATCTCTGGATCGAGTTACACTAAGACTGGTGTTACTTAGCCGACGAATTCTACTGGAACGCACATGATATTATCCCCGAACGGTGGTACAAATATCCGGACATGGTCAAACACAAATCCGTTTATGCTCCTTTCTCGGTCGGTGAGTGATACTCCCTGTACTCCCTGTGTTACAAACAAGCCGTGCCATTGCAGCTAATCTGGTATGCCCAGGCCCTTACGCCTGTATCGGCAAATCACTAGCACTCATGAACATGAGAACAACCATTGCGCGAATAATTATGGCATTTGACATGCAAATGCCACCGGACGACGACGGCACATTACTCGACAGAAATATGAGAGAGCATTTCTCAAGCTTTGTCGAGGATATTCACGTCATCTTCAAGAAGCGGTCTTAGGCGCCGGTCCTACTGTGGCTGAGCTGGTATTTACCCCTGCTTGGATTGGATTAGTACTGTGCAAGAAAGATGGCAGCTTGCAGAACCTATGAGCAGATCTAGGTTGTACGCGGTTTCAGGCAGAGTTACGTCTGTCAAACATTTTTTATAATTGTGAACCCAAGGTTGGATACAACGACACCTTTTAGCAGAAAAAAACCCACAGTCCGTGGTTTCCGGGGTTCGGAGTATTGTTTCACCTGGAAGATCGTAACTGTGAAACGCCAGAAAGGCAGCTGATAACCTCCTAGGACAAGGTTGCGGTATACTTAACAGGGGCAGTGTAGAGACGATGGCGCTATCCTTTGTTTCGAACGAACAAGTCCGTGGAGTGTCCTATTGTCAATTTAAGTTTACAGCACTTAAAACAGGCGCCAAAAGAAAGTATACAGTCGGTGCAAGTGCATCCAATTAATGGAATAAATCGGTCATTGGCTCTTATCCACTGACTGGCCTATTCTCTGATCGTCAACTACACCATTTCACTGTGGCAATTATGGAACACCCATTTGAACCCTCACCTAGAGGAAAAGACAACTTCTGCCTGGATCACAAACCATGGGACATAATTGTCAAATATCCGACCACTTCAAATGCCAATGAAATCTCTTGGTGGCAGGACGTCGGCCCCCTTTTCGGCCGTCTCCTGCAAACGGCAGGTTATTCCATCGCCCAGCAATACCAGTATCTGCTCTTTGCGCGGACCCACATTATCCCCTCGTTGGGACCGTATCCGCAACGCTGGCCGAGCGTGATGACCTACACCGACCTGCCGATTGAGATGAGTGTCAATTTTCAGGACAGCGGCCCGTCAACCGTCCGTGTTGGGATTGAGCCGATCTGCGGACTGGCGGGAACACCTGGCGACCGGTTCGATCAGGTGGCGACGGAGCAATTAGTCGCCCGGCTCTCTGCATTGGGACCCGGAATGGGGGTGCTCGATCGGGTGTTATACCATCATTTTGTGGGAGATTTTAGGATTTCTGAGGTGGAGACAACCAAGCTGACCAAAGAGGTATTCGGGCCCAATTCCGTGCAGTCGATGTATAATATTGGGTTCGATTTCAAAGAGACGGGCGTGGCCACGAAGGGGTATGTCTTCCTAAGGTTGAAGGAAAGAGCGTCTGGCGTACCTATGCGACGATTGCTGAGTGAGTCACTCGGACGGCTGGATGTGATGGCGGGACGAGGGGATGCGGAGGCGGTCCGACAAGTGGTTGAGTATATGGAAGAAGGTGGGGGGTTCAATGAGTATACGTACCTGGCGTGGGATTTTGTCGACGCGGCGAAATCTCGGGTCAAGGTTTATGGGGTGCACGGGGACTTGAAGCTTGAAAAAGCCGAGGAGGTGTGGACGATGGGCGGGCGGTTAAAGGATCCAGCCAACCTGCGGGGCTTGGAGTTAGTCCGTCGGCTTTGGGGGTTGCTGGAAGATGACCAGGAAGATGACCAGGAAGACGAACACAAAGACGAACAGGAGGCCAAGACGGGCGGCCTCAAGGCCGGTGTACTGATGTGGAACTATGAGATCCGCCCTGGCTGCGACAAGCCCGTTCCGAAGCTGTATCTGCCGCTGCTTGGGAGGAACGACATGCTTGTGGCCAAGACTCTGGAGCAATTTTTCCAATCGCTAGGCTGGACGGAACAGGCTCGGACATATGTGGATAACGTGCAGTATCTCTTGTGAGTTCCGAATTCTCTCCCTCTGGTCCAGACTGACCGAGACAGTCCCGATGAAAAGCTTTACCAGTGTTCCCGACTTCACGCGTGGGTGTCGTTCGCGTATACCGAAGAGGCCGGAGTCTATGTGAGTGTATACTACCACTCCAGCCTGGCCTAGAATCAGTCTTGGTATCATTCATGGCACAGAATTTATCCGTGGCCCATGGGACCGTTGCATAGAGCGTATGCGTAAGCGAACAAAGGACCGCATCTGGCCGACTTGTGCGACCCCGCCAGTCGGTGAGTCAAGCCCGGCCGGGCCAAGAGGGTATATAGGCTACTTCCTAAGTAAGACGGTGGCCAATCCGGGCAAAGGCCAATTGGCCCGCGGGGCATCGCGTAGCACCAGCTGACCCGACGGAGATTGAGGTTCCCCGCGGACATGGCAGCGAAATTACATCAGACCAACGAAGAAAGGGGGCGCTCGGCCTGAATCCGCAGCTGGAGGATCGTTAGCGAGGGCGTGGACTGGGTCTCGTGTCCGGGCCGAGAACCATTGATTCGCTGGGAAGGCGAGGGAGAGAGTGTCAGTGGCTGACTGGTTTCCAGGTGGAAGACTAGGGCGAGGCCCCCCGGTCTTTAGCTCGGCACGTTACCCCGCGATGGACCGCCCACGCACGGCCGGGGACTCGACTGACTCGACGACTCATCGTGCGCTCACGGGCGGGCATCCATTGGGGCTGGCGAATGGCGGACAGAAAATATTATAGCCCTCGTGAGGCAATTACAGTTACGGCAAAGCAGTAACGAGCAGAGGAGCCGGGTGGCATTTTGATATCCCGGGAGATCGGGCGAAAGAAGCTACAGCTGGAGAACCAAGATTCTGGGGATGTCCTTGGCGCCGTCTGGGGAAAGCTTGGCGGCCAGACACTTTCTCGCGGAGAACCCAAGACGCTCCATCCCCACCAACAAGCCCAACGAACAAAGAAGAATGGTGGCAAGACGGCATCAGATGAGCCACCACGCCGGTCAGCGATCAGTAGAAATGTGTGACCCCAAACCGGGCACCAAAAAGCAAGTCATAGAAATGGCCTGGCTTCCGGTCGCCGGTGTGTAGCCTGACTAAGGAATGCCCCGAGGCCCTCCAGCCATGGGTCGATTCCGTTAAGCTTTCTGAACTCTCTTTTCCTTTCTTTTCCTCTCCGGGCCTTCCTCCACCCTCATCTCATCCTGATTCGACCCCTTCATCTCCGGGAGCAGCCTCTTCCTCCTCATGTGAGGGATCGGCAGCTCTCCGGGAAGAGTCAGCACCAAAATCCACGGGCTTGCGGGGTCCGGTGTGCTTATCGTTTCGGCTTCCAGTGCCAGTTTCACCTCGAGTGGCCTTCTGCCCGATCTCGGGATTTAAAAGCCAGCTGCCCGCCAGCTGGCGGCTTGCCCGCCTTTTTTCTTTTTCTCTTTCATCCCTACCTTCCTCCTTTTCTTTTGCAGTTGGACACGTTTCTTCGTGGCTGTCTTTTCAAACCCAACTGCTCACCATGTCCCACCACTATGGGGATAAGCCTGCGACGGAGGTGCCCGTCCAGGTCTACACCTCCGAAGAGGATGAGCCTCCGCGGATGGGACTGGGCAAATACCTGCTCACCCGAATCCCAACCTTGGTGCCTCCTATGAACCCGGCGCCCAACCCCTTTACCGCACTCTCACTCTTGAGTCGAAAGCAATGGCTCTTTTTTGGGGTGCGTTCCGAAACCGGCCCAATTCTTGCGTTGCGGCTAACCATGTTTCTAGGTCGCGTTCTTCGGCTGGACCTGGGATGCCTTTGATTTCTTTACTGTTTCCTTGACCACCACGCAGCTCGCGAAGACCTTTGACAAGACGGTGACCGACATTACCTGGGGCATTACCCTCGTGCTGATGCTCCGATCGGTAGGGGCCATCGCGTTTGGAATTGCGGCCGACCGCTGGGGTCGCAAGTGGCCCTTTATCGTGAATAACCTCTTGTTCATTGTGTTGGAGCTGGGCACTGGGTTCTGTCAGACATACCGGCAGTTCCTGGGCTGTCGCGCGCTCTTCGGAATCGCCATGGGCGGGCTGTACGGCAACGCCGCCGCTACCGCGCTTGAGGACTGTCCGATGGAGGCGCGCGGTATTGTGTCCGGCCTGCTCCAACAGGGGTATGCGTTTGGATACTTGCTGGCTACGGCGTTTGCGCGCGGATTGGTCGATACCACACCTCACGGATGGAGACCACTGTACTGGTTCGGAGCATGCCCTCCGGTGTTGATCATCATCTACCGACTGTGCTTGCCTGAGACAGATACCTTCCTTCAGCGCCAGGCAACCCGGGAGGATGTTCGGGGCGGAGTGACTGCGACGTTCATGTCGGAAGGCAAAACCGCGGTCAAGAGACACTGGGTGCTCCTGGTGTACCTTGTTTTGCTCATGGCTGGGTTCAACTTTATGGTATGTCTACCGTGATCCAACCCTAAAAGGAATTGACTGACCGAGTTAGTCACACGGCTCCCAAGATCTGTACCCGACCATGTTGGAGAACCAATTCAAATTTTCGGCCAACGCTGTGACGGTCACGCAGGTCGTGGCCAACCTGGGCGCCCTCAGCGGTGGCACACTGTGCGGCTGGGCGAGTCAGATCTTTGGTCGGCGGTTCTCCATCATTGCGATCAGCATTATCGGGGGAGCCCTGCTATACCCGTACACGTTTGTGACGTCGACCAACGTGATGGCGGCGGCGTTCTTTGAGCAGTTCTGCGTGCAGGGGGCGTGGGGAGTAATCCCGATCCACCTGATGGAGCTGTCGCCGGGAGCCATCCGGACGTTTGCGGTGGGCACGGCGTATCAGCTAGGCAACCTCGTATCGTCGGCCAGTTCGACGATCGAGTCGACGATCGGGGAGCGGTTCCCGCTGCCGCCGACGGAGGAAGGCACGAAGCGGTACCAGTACGGCAAGGTGATCTGCATCTTCATGGGATGTGTATATGCCTACACGATCTTGGTGACGTTGCTGGGGCCGGAGCGCCTGGGACGGCAGTTCGACGTGGCGCACGATGCAGACATGGCGGCCGTGACCGCGCACCGGGGAACGGTGGTTGATGGGGCGGAGAGCGACCCGGAGAAGGGCACGGCCCGGACAGTGGAGGGATGAACATATTTCAGACATTTACGGCATGATGAGTGATGATTGGTTATGGCATGTACAATTGATAGCATTAACGAGGACTATGGGGGAGGTCTGTTGGTCACGTCAACCCTAGATGAGTGCTAGACGCTGATGGAAAATAATCAATGATGAATGAAGCATACCCAGATGAAGCTTCCATTCTACTATGTAGACTGTAGAGACATCAGCGTTGCTCCACAGCACCACAGCACCACAGCACCACAGCACCGTATACAGAAGCAGGGATACATCAGAATCTGCTTAATCAAGGATGCTCATGAGCCCATCCGGGGTCATCACCGGGTTGAAGGATCATCATATGTTTGGACATGCAGTAGAGAGACCTGTATAGAACCAGGACTTACTTGTGAGATGTGAGGACGGGATGGCCCTCATTGGCGATGGGCAGCAAGGAAAAGTCCGAGGACGCATCCAGGGGCACGGGGCCTTTTATAGGCTGGTCGGACAACCCCGCACTGAACCTGGCACCAGCCAGGGATGAGGTGGTCGGATGATTCCCCATACCCCTATCGCGAACTGGTCGGGGGTGAAATAGGAGGACTGTCGAGATGGAAATGGCAGAGGCAGCGCAGCCCGCGGGTGAGGAAGACCCTCTTTGGCTCCACTCTCGGACATTGGCATCTCGTGGAGCGGATCGCCCGCGTTGTTCAGGGTCTGGGGTCTTCGAGATGCCACACGCACGCTGAAAGTAAAAGTGACGGATGGTGGACGTAGACATAAGTTTCTCGACGTCAAGATGTGGTCGGGGACTCTGGGTGCAGCTGTCAGGCGCAGCGAATCCATGGATGGTCGGGATGCCATGGTCGTCTGCTGTTGATGCGGCGGATCACATCGGATAGAACCTCTGCCCCTCGCTGTAGTATACTCCTCCACTTTTGATCATTCCGAGCTTTACTTCGAATGAGAAGAACTAGAATACCAGTGATAACCGCAGTCAAATCAAGAAAAGGTGTGGAGATCGTCGGGGCGCCTGCCTCCGCCAAGGCCGGACCGTGTTTGGTTCGGCTCGACGCTGTGCTCGACTCTGACTTGAGTCTCTCTCTGCTTTCTCTCTTCGCTCGCCGTCTTCTTTATCTGCTGTCCTCCTTTCCCCTCGCCTCCCCCATTCCGGTCTTTTCGGATTCTTCCTCGTCCCTCCCTTGTCCCTCCTCGTCTGCTGGGCATCTCTCCATCCATTGCGCCGCCCTCCCTTTTTGTCCGATCCCCCGCCTCTCCTAATTCCCGGTCGGCCACTCGCTCGTTCGTCCGTCAGTCCACCCCGACTGGTTTCCAGGGTCCGATCCCACGCAGCACCCAAGGGAGGAGAGGGAATCCAAGGGCAGCTCCAGATTACCCCGGCCAGCAGATCTCGTCTTGGCCCGACCGGTGCTTGTCTTCTCCTATCCGATCCGTTGGCGCATTCCAGAGCGTTCGTCAGGGTCCAGCAGATCGATCCCCTTGCCGCCTTCCCCCCAGACTACCCTTCACTCGATCGCCTTACACACTGGATGAGTATCCGGATCGCCACCTCTTCCAATGCACAGACGCTCGTCTGGCTCGCCGGCCGAGGACGACGCTGAAGAATCCGTACTCACCGTCTCTCGTACTCCGACCGACCCGAGTTCTGGTCCCAACGTTCTCGACCCGCCGGAAAAATCGCGTCCGCAGGCTGCCAGAACCGGCACCAGCTTCGATCTCCGGCGCGATGCCTCGTCCACCCCTCGGTCTCGCAACTCCAGTCTTTGGCGCACCGCCTCCGCCAATGACTCCCGTTCTTCCTCCGTCATGATGCCGTTGGCCTCGCAGCGATTGCCCATGGAGGCCTCCCCCGATGGTCAGCACCGCTTTCGACCCTCGCGCCTCCGCAGTCCGTGGCCGGTCTCGATTCTCACAGCCCTCACCACGCTCATCGCCTCCATCTTCATCTTCTTCATCCTCCGATCCTTCTCCGAGCGACAAATGGGTGGCGATGGCTGTGGGATTCCCGTCATGAGTCCCACATTCATTCGCATGGTGGGATTTGATACGGAACATACCCGCTTTGCGAGCAAATACAATCTCTTTCTCTATCGAGAAGAAGGAGTGGATTGGTATCATCAGGATAATTTGGGCGTAAGTATTAGCCATGCATCTCGGCTGTACGAATAGGCTGACGGTCTTCTGCTTCAGTTAAACGGCGTCCCCGTCCTCTTCCTCCCCGGAAACGCCGGCAGCTATCGTCAAGTCCGCTCCCTGGCCGCGGAAGCCTCGAGACACTATGCCGATGTGGTCCGACATGATGAGGAGCGTCTAAAGACCGGTACCCGGAGCCTGGACTTTTTCATGATCGACTTTAATGAAGACCTGGCGGCGTTTCATGGGCAGACCCTGCTCGACCAAGCTGAATACGTGAACGAAGCCGTGGCATACATCCTGTCGCTATACCATGATCCGCGACGGTCGCGGAGGGACCCTGAGTTGCCCGACCCCAGCTCCGTGATTTTGGTGGGCCATTCGATGGGAGGCATTGTCGCCCGGACGGCCTTGACCATGACCAACTACCAGGCGAATTCGGTCAATACCATTGTCACCATGTCGGCGCCTCACGCGAAGCCCCCGGTCTCGTTCGAATCGGATATCGTCCATACCTACAAGCAGATCAACGATTACTGGCGCGAGGCTTACTCCCAGACGTGGGCCAACAACAATCCTTTGTGGCATTTGACGTTGATATCGATTGCGGGTGGGTCGCGTGATACCGTGGTGCCATCCGACTACGCCAGTATCTCGTCGCTGGTCCCGGAGACGCACGGCTTTACGGTGTTTACCTCTACGATTCCGGATGTCTGGATCGGCATGGACCATCTGTCGATTACATGGTGTGATCAATTCCGCAAAGCCATCATCAAGTCTTTGTTTGATGTCGTGGATGCCCGCCGAGCCAGCCAAACCAAGCCACGGGCGGAGCGCATGCGAATTTTCAAAAAGTGGTATCTCACCGGACTGGAGCCAGTGGCCGAGCGAACTCTTCCCCAGAAAGGTATTTGGCCCGGAGTGCTTGCCATATCGTTGCTGACTCTTGCAGAACCGACCACCCTATTGACGCTGGAAGACAGTACCAACACCATTCTGCCGCAGGGCCAGCGACTGATCCTTCGCGACCTCGGCCACAATCCGAATACCAACGTGCACCTGCTGCCGGTCCCGCCGCAGGGGGTGTCGGGGAAGAAGTTTACTCTTCTGACGGACCAGAAATTCGACGAAACCGGCGAGCAGGGTACACTGGAGGTTCTTTTTTGCAGCGTCTTTCCTCTTCACAATGGCAAGTTTGCCAGCGTCTTTTCGATGAACATGGATTTCTCCGGGGGCAGCGCGGGTTCCACGCGGCTTGCGTGTAAGAACGCTGCAGAAGATGGCATCCATCTTCCCGCGTCGACGCGGACCTCCAAGCAGGCGTACGATCGGACGACGCCGTTTTCATATCTCCAGTATGACTTGGAGGATCTGGCGGAGCATCAGTTTGTGGCCGTTGTCGACAAGGCGCGAACACCCACCCGGGGATGGGTGGTGGCGGAATTCTCCGACAGCTCCGACTCGGTCATCCGGGCTCGCGTGGGCTTGGGTGGCTTGCTCAGTGCTGGGCTGAAGATGCGGCTGCCGGCCAATCGTCCCATGCTCACCGAGGTGAAGATTCCGGCGCTGCATTCGAGTCTGCTCAACTACAAGCTCAAGATCGTGCGTCGGGGCTACGGAGAACAGCCCGAGCTGTTTGCACCGCTGCTGCGCCAGTCGATGCCTGATCCCCATGAGTCCAAGTTTTTTGTCAACGCGAGACAGGTCAATGTGAATCTGCACGGTATCGCTCCGTTCATGCCTCCCCCGCTTCGCGAACAAGCGGCCCATGGGGGCGTGTCTTTTCAGCTGTGGACGGACCCGAGCAGCGAGTCGACGCTGGATATCTCCTTGTCGGTGGACATCTTGGGTAGTTTGGGGGAGCTCGTGATGCGGTATCGCACTGTGTTTGCTGCATTCCCGGTCCTGGTGATTGCACTGGTTCTTCGGAAGCAATTCCAAGTCTATGACGAGACGGGCTACTTTATCACCTTTGCGGAGGGGCTGGACAGCACGTTGCGGTCGTCTTTGCCTCTGCTGCTGCTGGCCATGTCGTTGTTGGCTTCGTCTCTGGCGACGACGAGCACACTGCCCCCGAGTGACGATCCGTTCCATTGGCGCACCAACTCTACCGAGTCGCCGGTTGATTTTACAAAGAATGATCTCCTGCTGGGCTCGCAGGATGCATTCTTCTGGTTCCTGGTGCCTGTGTTCGGTCTGATCAGTGTGGGAGTGTGCGTGATGATGAACTATGTCGCGCTGTCTCTGCTCTCAGTTCTGTCTTTCTTCTATGGCTTGTTGAACACCAAATCGGGGTACATCAAGCGGGACGACAAAGGGTACGTTTATCACTCATTGTCGAGTTTCGCTAATTGTGTAGGAATCTGTCTATTTTTTCTGCCCCAACGCCCCGTCGGCGGTTGATCAACACGGCGATCCTGTTGATTCTCGTCGCGACCGCCATTCCGTACCAATTTGCCTATATGGTGGCATGCATTGTGCAGCTGGCGACGTGTGTGCGGGCCCAATGGCATGCCAGAGAGACGGTACGTATGGCAATTCGGTCTACTTAGGGTGTGCTGACGACATAGAAATCCACGACCCATTATAACTTCGCCAATTACACGTATTCGATTTTCCTTTTGATGTTGTGGATCCTCCCGATCAACATCTTGGTTTTGCTTGTGTGGGCCCACAACCTGGTTGTGCACTGGTTCATGCCGTTTTCGTCGCATCACAACGTGCTGTCGATTATGCCGTTTATTCTTCTTGTCGAGGCCATGACCACCGGGACGATGATCCCTCGCGTTAGCACACGGTATGTTTGCCAGCTCCCGTATGGGGCTTGACTAACTGGCCAGGTTTAAAACGGTCACGTCGCTTCTTCTCTTCGCCCTTGCCATCTACTCAGCCGTGTACGGCGTGTCCTACGGCTATCTGCTTCACCACCTCACTAATATTTTTGCCGCGTGGCTGGTCGGCATCTACCTGTTCAGCAGTGGCTTCTCGCTTCGTCGACTGTGGCGCGTCCTGGAGGGCGACGAGACGACCTCCACGCAGGAACCCGGCCGTCACGTGAAGAAAAAGCCATAATGGCATACATATACTATTCTTTTTTTATATTGTTGGTCGCATTTGCCGGACACGATTATACGGCGTTTGGAGCGGTTTGCTTATTTCCGACATGGTCGGTGTACAGTTATGAATTGCTGGGCTGTCTGCAGTGTGCAGTGTGCAGGTTGCAGTGTGGCAGTCTGGTTGGTCTGTGGATACGTTTGTATATACGTTGGATCGGATAGACTATGGTGATGCACTTTATTCATTCTAGTTGATTCCTTAATCGTGGTTCAGCATTCATCGGAATTTAATTCTTTTACCTTGAACATAGCCCTCGATTCACCTAGTATTCCAGTGATAGTGATTCCGATGTCAACTAGTGACTCATCCCATCACTTGCGACTGTCAATACAAACCTGGATGAATCAGCCTAACTAAGGTGTATACATACAGCCATCTTTCCTCTTATCCTTGATAGAAACTTCTCTTCTCATCCCACAAGTCTAGATATCCTTTCAATATATATAAATTTTGAATTCTGAATAGAAGAAATGGTACTAAAGTTGTCGAACAACAATAGAATGGTCTATATTCGGCTCTCCACACAGCCCCTATACGGACTTCCTATTGTGATAGATAGATGCTGATCTTTCTACATAGTGTATTATGTCCATGGACATAACCTACCAAGCCCCAGCGACAAAAGATACATCTAGTAAGTAACGTTCCATCCGGAGATAAACGATATAAATAAGATGGAATACATATCCCTCAATATCTAGTATGACATGATTCTCTCATATATCTTGAACATGGCCTTCTGGGTATAGATGAGAGATAAATAGGTATGTGATCTCCCATACTACATTACTGAAAATGCAATAATTACTCATATCTTCCCTTGTAGTTTAGAAGAATTTTTTTCGAGTGTATGACGAAGGCTTGGGTGTGTGTCTGTGATTAACAGTCGTACTTGTTATAAGATAATGATTATGTTTTCGCGACCCGGACTATATGAGTAAGTATCACATGATGATGAGGATGAGGTTTCGATATCAGAGATACCAGCAGTATTGCACGGTAGTACTGATCTTGGATCTGCTCTCTGACTGATTTCAAGGTATTGAGTTTACTTCTTTGCTTCTTTCTTTCTTTCTTTCTTTCTTTCTTTTTTTTTTTTTGCTTTTTGGTTTGTTGGAGGTATATGCTGTGGTATATCTGGTTATCTTGCTTATGGGGTATAACGAAGCTTGGGGTTGGTTATTTGTTCAATAGAAGGGGCATGGTTGCAGTTTTGTAACTTGGGTATGGTTTTACTTTCCTGCGGCTGCGGAATTGGGTACAGAGTGTATAGAGAGGAATAGGTAGGCACGGCCATTGCATATCCTGTACTTGAAGTTGGATCGCACATTGTATCTACCCAACGATACTAAACTGAGTCTACTACGGTTTCTCGTGATAATTATCGTCCTAGGTGTCGAAATTCGGAATCGGACGAGGCTTCGCAATCTTTTCGTACAGTGCCATGAACTGCAACAGAGTCTCCTCCTCATCGGCCCTAGCCACCAAACATAGCCCGAACGGTCGATCGTTGTAGAGAAGTTGTCCGACTGGGACCGTAGCAACCGGATACCCTGATCGATTAGCAGGCGAGTCAACGTTACTTGCTTGAGGTGGTTACCTGCAGCCGCAGCATGGACACATAACGGGGAGTCTCCCGGAGCTGCTAGGATGTTGATGTCTTCCTGGTCAAAGACATTATCCAGAATCTCAGTCGCGGTTCGACGAAGGTTCTCTTTCAATTTGTTGATTTGTTCCTTTTCGTCGGTGCTGTTCATTGCTCCTTCGAGATCATTCTGCTCGGTGAATGCTGCGTTCGTTAGTAACTGTATGATGGGGATGGTATTGAACTTACGAGCTGGCAGGGCTATTGCGTGGTTCTCTTTATTGAATCTGACGATCTCTGCAACGCTGGTTACGGCACACTCGTCAAACGAGCGAATGAATTGGGGGATGCAGATGTTTTTAAAGTCCCAATCTAGAACGTTAGCTATATCCGATTCCCTGAATGCAGCACCTACATGCGATGGGCAAGATAGTATTCGGTAAGGCTGACGGATCCTTGCACTGAACTGGATACTTCAGAGGACAGCCCCCTTTTCGTAGAGCAGAGACTGTCTCTTCATACTCCTCTACCTATACCCTGTTAGAGCCCAACTGTTTATGAAGTGAAAGACGTACCATTTGCTCAGCTGTCCCCTCAAACTGGGTACAAAAGTCCGGCGCCATCTTCCAAATCCTCGGATCCAGGAACCCCACCGAAAGCCCATCCCAAGAATCCAACTGGGCAAACCGACGGCCGAGGAGGATCTCAGCAAGAACACGCACATCAGCTGCGGATTTGGCCATAGGCCCTGGACTGTCGAAGAACTCCGTCATGGTATATAAACCAGTCGTATCCTGGATCCCAGTAGTAGGTTTGAGGGCATACAGACCGGCACGGGTTGCTGGAGTCACGATGGAACCGATGGTCTCGGTGGCCATGGCCAGAGGGCTGAATCCGGCGGCGACTGCGACGGCAGAACCGGTGGATGAGCCCCCGGGAGCCTGCTAATGTCAATACCATGAAGATAACAGTGATTTATAACTAACAGAATGCCCTAGTATCTTCTCATTATCCTCAATTCTCCCCACATACGGCGACAAAGTCTGACCGCCGTGGGCTGACCACCCGGGCATCATCATGGTCATTTTCATGCCAGCAAATTCCTACAACGTCAATACCAGTGGGCCCTGGAATGCGGATATACTGACTGTCATGTTGGCCTTTCCCAAAATAATCAACCCCGCGTCAATCAACCGCTGAGTGATGGCTCCATTCCGAGACGCCTTGGCTCCGACAAACGCATAGGATCCGGCGGTGGTGCTCATGCCCAGTTCCGAGGCAGTGACAAAGCTGTCTTTCAAAATGATGGGAATTCCATGGAATGGGCTACGAATATGCCCGTTCTGGCGCTCTTCATCCAGGGCTGTGGCGATTTCGAGGACTTTGGCCCGCGGGGCAGGCGAGATTAGCGCATTGAGGGTAGGCTCATGGCGATCAATTTGGGCGAAATACTCTTGAATAACTTGAGTGCTCGTAATCTGGTTCTTGTTGAGAAGCTGCTGCAGGTCGACTGCATTGGTCGTGAGGACGTTGAAGAGGGGCATTCTGAGCTGGGATGGTGAGGACGAGGAAAATGGAAGTTGGGCTTCTGTTGAGGTCCTTAGTCTAGTGCGAGCACGTGCTTGTCTAATTTCCTGGCCAAGAGTAACTAATTTGGTACAGTCCGAAGCTTATCATGATATTGACTCTCATTTACTCCCCCCCTTGCAAGCATACTATTCCACCGTATCAAACACCGAATGCGAATTCACCCAGTCCACCAACTTCGAATACTTCCGACACTTATGCGGCAGTCCTCTGCTCTCCGTCTTGCCCCCGTGACCAGTTACCAAATAATAAGGAGTCACATCACTCTGACACGAAAAGACCAATCTCAGTGTCTCAATACAATGATCTACATGGTGTCGGCGGGTCTTTTCTCCCCCGCTAAACGAGGGCAGTTTGCTATAGTCCCAATGATCTCGATAGATGAACTGTCTAACCAGATTCTGTGATATATTAGCGAGGATTTCAGCCTCGACATCGCAGGACTCACCAAGCAATGGATCTGATGCGCTCCTTCTAACAAACCTCCCACTCCGGCATCTGGTCTGGAGCCGACGAGTCGGAAATCTCCTGTCATGGAGGATTTGTTTAATCCGGCGAGCGATTCGAGGGGGACCGTGAAGGCGCCGACTACACCAATGAGCTTGGTTCACCGGCGGTTTTGGTGGGGGGTACTCACAGTCCCATAACGCGCCCCATGCTTTCTCCGACGTAGCCGAGGGATAACCGCTGTACTCATCCGGCTGGAAGTTATCATTGAATGTCAGCCATTCCAGCTCTACCGCCTCCATGGCTGGACCTATTGTCGTGTTAGTGTGTGAGACTGACTTCCAAGAGAGGGATACTGACTGGGAGCTGAAAACCGGCGCACGCATTTCTCATCCGAGACTTCGTGGTAGTACTTGGAGAAGAAGAACGAAATGGAGACAAGGAGGCATAAACACGAAATGGCGATGTGAGATAGGATGTACAATGTGCTTTTGCGCTGAGATACTTTTTGGCTATGAGCCACTCCATTCAAGGCATCATCGCGGATGGAGGCAATTTGTTGGTATCGAAGTCGCTTGAAGAGACGACTTGGATTGAGCTCCCACATTGTAGCGTAGTAGCTGTGGTGATAAGTGCGGAAATTTAGGAAATTCTTGGTGATGGGAGTAGGACAGTAATTGATCAGCCCGAGGCAGCAGCATGCGATTCCGTTTCAACCCATGAATACCTTGTTCTGGGTATACTGCTGACTCTGATGACTTGGTGTACGGTGGAGTGCAGGATCCGATTCCTAATCCTGGTATTGATAGCTTGAATGTATGGCGAGCTACATGTATTGAAACTTTCGCATATTCCGTATCAAGAAAGTGGTACCGTGCAAGATCTAACTAGCGGAACCGCTTCTCCACCGTGCATCAACTAGCCAGATCCTCAGGGTCAACGGCCGAGGGGCTGGGCCGCACGGACGACCGGCGGATGAAGGACCAGATGTCGATCGAAGGATCGTCTAAATCCTGATGACTATATTCTTGGGGTAAATACATAGGAAGAGGCATAACGTTGACGCCGGATCAATTGACGCCATTTGGGGTCCATTTCTCGTAATCATTCATCTGCCTTATCGAGGAATTGCCAAGACTCCGCCCAGCCTCTTACGCCAAGACGTATCAGTCTCAGACGAGTCTACTGGTATTGAGATAGATTCGCTACTGTAATGTCTAGTCAGCTAGTATGGTCCGTGTTGTCTAGTTAGATTCGGAATCCTTTATCGATTCCTAGCAGCATCAATCCTAAGGGATTAGCAGGCTCAATGCTAAACAGGCATACCGATTGCTAACGATATACGCTACACGTGGTGACAGCATGGGGGATCACAGATGGTCGTTACCCTTCCAACGACCCAAACTGCGTGTCTGACCAGTTGACCAGTGTGACACGAGACCATAACCAAATCACTCCCAATGGAGAATCCCTTCTATTCATCACCCTCTATGTCTTCTCAACCTGAAGAGTTTAACCTCGATTCGGACATTGATGAAGAGCAGCACATGCTGGAGAGTGGCAAAAGCCTTCAAGGCCGTCTCACCAGAGCCTTCCACACCCATCAATGGGATCTAACCCCCAAAATCTCAAGATGGGCAGGACAATTCATCTCCTTCTTGCTACCAAGTTTCATCCATGGCTCCGAGACCCATCAGGACCGCCCCCTCACCTCTTCCCTAGACGGGTTGAGAGGATATGCTGCATTTGCAGTCATGAACTACCACATCTTCTACGCCTACCAAAACATCGTGTTCTACGGCTACGGCCTACCCCAAGAAGCCCTCACCAGCTCCTGTGCACGACCAGACGAATCCCCGGCTACAACTAACTGGATCATCCAACTACCCATCCTCCGACTCCCCATCACCGGAACATGGGCCATTTCAATCTTCTACGTCCTCTCCGGTTTCGCTCTATCCTACAAGCCCCTAAGAGAATCCCGAGACCCCTCTCAAGGCTTCACCAAAAGCACCGCGGTAGTAGCATCCAGCTTTCTCCGCCGACCCATCCGACTCTTCGGCCCACCTATCCTCGCCACCTTCATCACCATGCTCGGCCTGCAACTCGGCGCCTTCATCACCTCCCAAGCCATCGCCAAAACCTCACCCTGGGTCCCCATCATCAAAGAAAACCTAGCATCTCCTCTCCCAACCTTCACCGCCCAACTCGCAGACTGGACGCACCAAACCTGGCGAATGCTCTTCGTCTTCTGGTGGGGCGACATCTACAACCACTACGACGTGCACCTCTGGACCATCCCGGCTGAATTTCGTTCCTCGCTCGCCATCTTCCTCTTCCTGCCCATGTACATCACCATCAAACCCTGGATCCGTCGACCCCTGACCGTCCTGATTATCATCTACATCTACGCCCTAGATCGCTGGGACGTAGCCTTATTCTACTCGGGCCTTCTACTCGCAGATACAACCATCGACACACATACCAACCACGACACGAAACCCCCTACCCTCCCCAACAGGACCATCTCCATCCTCCTCCGCCTCACCCTCCTCATCACAAGTCTCCACCTCCTCTCCGCCCCCGACTTCTGCATCTCCCAAACCCCCGGCTTCCAACTCCTAAGCTATCTCATCCCACCCTCCGATCCCGCCCCGTTTCGATTCCTGCCCAACCTCGGCGGGATTATTCTCATTAGTCTGATTACGCATACTTCCCCCGAGAACCGAGTTATATCCACCATCTTGAATGGATCTATCCCGCAGTACCTCGGTCGGATTAGTTATAGTTTGTATATTGTGCATGGACCGTTGATGCATTTACTTGGGTATCGCTTGTTCAAGGCGTTCTGGATGGTGACGGGCGTGGAGGAGGTGTGGAGGTATGTGGTTGGGTTTGGGGGAGCGTATGTGGTTTTCGTGGGGGTGGTGGTTTGGATTGCGGATTTGTTTTGGAGCGGGGTGGATAGGGGGTTTGTGGCTTTGGCGAGGAGGGTTGAGAGTCTTGTTATTGTTATTTCATAGCCAGGTATTAATCCCGAAGGTTTAACTAGACAGTTATATACCACTCATCTTCATTCTCAGTCTATTTAAGATACCCTAATCAATATGATTCTGATAATCCGCCGTATTCAACTCATGTTCCCTCGCCCAGGTCACTATCTTCCCGTAATCGCGACACTTGTGCTGGGTATTAAAATCCGGGTCGATGCCTAGGGGCCGTTTCGGATCTTTGAGAACCAGATACGGTGTCACGTCTGAGGTGCACTGGAGGAAGATTCTCAAACTATTAATGCAGTGGTCGACGTGCTATCATCCATCCATCCCTCAGTAAGCAATTCTCTAAACTATCCTCAAAGATAAAGGGTAGGTATAGGTATACGTACATGCCGAACCTGCTCCTCCGTCCCATCAAACGCCGGCTGTTTGCTATAATCGTATTGATCGCGGTAGGTATATTGGCGGATGAGATCGAGGCAGTGGATTTGGTGGAACACTAGTATCAACATATATCAGTCTGAGTTCACACATATTGAAAGTTAGTTTGGGGAATACCCTCAAGAGACCCAATAACCCCACCCCCCTTCTCCGGCTTCGCGCGTTGCCAATTCGAAGTCGTGGATTTGTTCAACGCGCTGAGTTTCTCGAGGGGAATGTTGATGGGGGCGACTATCGCATATATATTAGTAACCAAGCTCAGTTATCAAGTATATATCTAATTTTGTTTAATGAAAGAAAGGGGAAAGGAGGGGGGGAGGGATACAATTCCACAAATCCAACCACGCCTGCTCCAATTCCGGCGTCGGCTTCCCCCGATATATCGAATGTTCATTGAATCTGTTCTGGAATTTCACGTCGATGTATTCGACTGCTTCGAGGGCGGGGGCTGGACCAGTCAATTCAGTCAGTATTACAAGGGTCAAAGGTTAAGGAAGGGGTATGGACATACACCAGACAGATAACTTAGCCGCGCATTCTACGTCCGTCGGTTCACGGGTTATGGCAGCGACGAGGAGGATTATGATGCTGATGAGGAGAGACGTGGTGAAGAGCCATGGGGTGAAGCCGAGGGAGGTCCAGTATCGGGTATATTTTGAGAATGGGGATTGAGGGTGGGGAGGGTTGTCGGTGGTGATGTCCTCTGGGGATTTGTCGTCTTCGGAGACGGGGAGGTATTGGTGGGTGTATGCCATGTTGGATGGAAGGCGAGTGTCAACAGAGAAGGGGGAGGATGAGACCTGATGGGCGTAGAGTGGAATAGGGAAACAATAGTCACTCAGCTCAGTGAACAGAGTATGTCCAATGTTAGAAACAGACTCCTCAGACCATTCTCGCTCATCCTCTGCAGTCTGCACAGGGAGGAGTAATCCCCCCGAGAATCTTACATTACTATCATACCCACTACATCCTAGCCTTCCCCCGATAACGACCCATACGACCCATTTTCCTATCCCAGCTAAACACCCTGCAATCCGTCATGAAAAACACCCCAGAACTATATTACTCGTATTATGAATCTAAAGTGGGCCCGGTGGGTCTTGTCAGCCCCAAGCCGGTCGTACAGAGATATAGTTGCAGAAGGCGTCATTGCAGGATCGCTCTGCAAGAGGGCGCCTTATCAGGCGGACTTCGTATAGAGATTAGTGATATCCACATGTAAATTGATTAACTGGGGTGTAATCTTCGTATGTCTCGGACTGGTGGGTCAGGTATCTCGGATCCGAAAGTTGCAGGATGTTGATGTTACATGGATGCTACAAGCGTAGAGCCTCTCGATCATGCGGATACTCGGCTCGTATTGGATATTACATCGTTAAGCTTGAAAATACAGTAGCAGTATTCAGGGTCCAATTCCAGACAAACGTATGTATCGAACTACAGCTAACAACTATACCAATTACCCATCCCCCAGCCTCTCAAAACCCGACATCCAACCCATAAGGTAGCAGCCTAATCCAAATCCTTCACAAACTCCGGCGGCTCCGTATTACTACTCTTCAACTCGACATACGAATACGCGATCGGCCCCGGATTTTGAAAAATCTCCCCACAATGCTTGACATGTCGTTCGGTATCATACCGTCGCTCAATCACCACCCCCGTAAACTTCGCCCGTTGCTGCTTCCGCCAATAGAACAAACAATGCATGAAATGCCACCGGGGCGTCGTCCAAAAGAAGCTCCCCGGACGATCGGCCAGCATGCCAACTTCCTCGAGAGAGTACTCGGCCGTATGGTTCGAGTCGATCCAGTAATGCCAGCGCCCGCCGGGCCCGTCGCCAGCGAGGTCGAATTCGGCGGTCAGGTCGGCGTCGATGCAGTAGGGGGGTAGCCAGGCGGCGGCGATGGTGTCGTATTTGCACCCGAGGGACTTGGCTTCGCTGACGGAGTCGCCGCAGTCGCAGAGGGGTTGGGGTGGGGGTTGCGGTTGGGGGGTGAAGACTTTGATGCAGGTGGCGATGGCGAGGATGGCGGAGGTGATGAGGAGAAGTTCTTTGAGGAGGTAGAGGATTCTGTAGAGAGTATTTCGCTTTTGGGGGTTGGGGATCATGGATTGTTCGTGCTCGTCTTGGAGGAGCTTCTCTGGGGAGCCATCGAGGAAGTTCCCGATTGCTAGTCTGTTCACATTGTTAATAAAGACATCGGTGCTGGGAAGGGTGGTCTCACTTTGCGTAGGAATAAACCATTTTGCTGTCTAGGACAAGGGATACGGTGAGATGGAAGGCATGGGAAGAATTAAGGATGGAGTGAGAAGTTTAGAGCAACGTTTTGAATGCGACAAATGGATGACAGATAAATGGGAGGCCACGGAGAGTAATGATGGTCTAGTGCTATCGTACATAGTCTATATATTATCATCTGCTAATACGAACGTGTATTGATTCCTTTAACGATCATGTAACGTACCCCCGCATTTGGATTGATATTCGTATTTATCATTGATCATTTTTGATTGATCCAACTATTTACTAGGCTGATAAGGCTTACTTTACCTCGGCGGGAATGATGATTACAGGACAATACAAAGCTGAACGATATACTTGTCTCAAACGTAAGTACATTGACTTGCCCAGACACAACATCCTCCCTTCCACCTTCCATCCTCTTCATCAATCATCTAAGCTGAGTCCGATGGAGCCCTAGTAAGATTAGCTTACTCGCATCATCATAAGATCTCCGACACCTACCGCTTACTCGTCGTATTCACCGTAGTTCTTGGTCCAGGGGATGCTGCACCGCTTGGTGATAGTACCATCCTCCTTGGTGTCAAGGATGCAAGCACGCTTCTGGACATTCTCATCCTCATCGTACTCGCCGTAGTTCTTGGTCCAGGGGATGCTGCAGCGCTTGGTGATGGTACCATCCTCCTTGGTGTCAAGGATGCAAGCACGCTTCTGGACATTCTCATCCTCATCGTACTCGCCGTAGTTCTTAGTCCAAGGGATGCTGCAGCGCTTGGTGAGGGTACCGTCCTCCTTGGTATCAAGAATGCAAGCACGCTTCTCAAGGTTCTCGTCCTCGTCGTACTCGCCGTAGTTCTTGGTCCAGGGGATACTGCAACGCTTGGTGAGAGTACCGTCTTCGTTGGTGTCAAGGATGCAGCTGCCACGCTTCTCTGCCTCGAGGGCAGGGAGGGCCGCGACAAGAGCGACGGTGGAGAGGAGGATGGCGAGCTTCATTGTGTTTGAAGAATCTGAATGGAATGTTTGTGATGGTTAAATGATCAAGTGAAGGAGATGTGATCGGGATGCTGAAACTACAGTTGGCTCGAGGAATGTCCTCCTTAAGTAGTCCTTTTTTCGGGAGTTTTGTCTAGGGCAACCGCTCGGTAGTGAACTGCCAACCATCGGCCAAAAGGACAGCCCCAGCCAGACGATCCTCAGGGTATCGTTGACAATACCTACAATGAACGATGCAGAGTGTCACCGCGAGGCGTGGTATGACTTGTGTTCTTTGATACTCAGTTTGTGATTGTTGAAGCCGTTATCACTGGTATTCCATTACCGCCCAAACAGGCAAAGTGGTAATACCTCGGGTTGCAAACATTTCCACTCTGTATTGTTGCAGCCCTCTGGAATATCTACTCAGTAATCCTCGTGATGCCGTGTATGGTGTCGGTGTAGATTCCATTTTCTATTAACAGTTAGAATCGTACGCAACCACCTTCAACCACCTTGATAAGACCACGTGAAGTATGTAGTAAGGTGGAGGAATCGTATCCCTGCCCCCCCCCACAATGCACTAACCAAATCAGATCTAGCAGCTAAAGTACTCCGAGACATGCAGTATTCGGGTAGATCCTGCATTAGTGGGGATGGCGTGCTATAGTATCACCATGCAGTGCTAGCTTAGAGCACGCTAATGCCTGGACCTGCTTATCTGACGGATGTGTTCCGACTGCGCAGCACCTGCCATACTTGTCGATACGGTGTGCCATATGAATTATGACTGGACATACCGGATGATACAACAGAATTTTCAGTTGGGGCCAAAAGAGAAGTGGTGAGGATTCCAGTTCATTTGGCAGTAAGCCTCTTGGCGGACCACCACAAAGCGGATACCAATTAATTGCTCCGTCGGATAGTGATAGTCCACGGTCTTCTCTCCGACAACTGACGGAGTAAGTCCATCCTTGTGAGCATGTTCACCAATCCCCTCATACCTCATTCATTCTCATCTGTCCTCGAACACTCTCCTTTGACATTGTAGTTATCATGTTCTTTGCATACAAAAAGTCCACCAGCGAAAGCAGCATTGACAAGGTCGATTCCATCGAAGACCAGGAAACGCAATCCTTTCTGCCAGGACACGATCAGAATGGTCACCATCTACCAAGACTTCAGCGAGGCTATTTCGACCTTCAAGGCTCTGGACCATGGAAATTGGCAACTGGCATCCTGACTCTATTGCTTGGAATTTCTGTGTTTCTGCAATTTGCAGGTAGCAGGAAACATAGCTATGAGACTGGCTTCGATACAGATCTAGGTAGGTCTCTAAAACAATAACTCCAATTGATCTAATGGATGAGTAGAGCCCGCATTGTCCGCTATCAAAATGCAAAAAATTCGATTCCCAGGAAACATCGTCGTCAATGAAACTGGCGAATTCGAGCTGATGCTGGACCCAGAGGTTCCCCGGTATACAGGTCATCCAACTCGCGAACTCGACGCCGCGTGGGATCGTCTTGTCGGTAAGTCCTGCCTTCGTTCTGTAAATTATTGTGTTTGTCTGATTTCTCAGGTGGCTATCTCGCACTCAGTAAATCCGAAGCGGATCGGATTCACGGCGAAGTGTCCGCCGACGGCGGCCAGTACTTTGTAGTTCCTCATGTTCGACACAGCTTACACTGTGTGAACTATCTCCGCAAAGTCGCCTATGATAAATGGTACCCGACGATCCGGACTGAAAACAAGCCGACGGTGCCTACCTTCAGACAGCACGTCGGTAAGTCACTATATCCATGGCTCAGGCCGCGCTGACCAGAGTAGATCACTGCGTAGAGATGCTTCGGCAAACGGTTCAGTGTCAGTCGGATTTGACGCCTGTGCCGCATATTTGGTCCGAGGAAAAAGGCATGTATCTGGCTGATACTTCGTTGGAGCATACGTGTCGAGATTATGAGGCGATTATGGAATGGCAGGATCGGCGAGATGAGACTTGGAAAGCCCAGAATATGCATAGCAAACCATAGATAGATCAATACTGTATTCAGACTAGGCTCATACATAGTATAGAACCACTCATGGTTGATAACTAGATGAGTAAGCTTGTCCATGCAAGAGATAAAAGGGTGAGGGTAGCGCTCTTCTCTTTCATTTCTGATCCTGCCACTTGCCAGTACCCCTCACTCATAGGCTTCACCATGCGGCTGTTCTCATACTGTGTTCTGATTCTTCCCTTTCTTCAAGCGATAGAAGTCGCTGCATACTCCCAGTCATTACATCTTGACCACACCTGGCCAAATCATCAGAAATGCGTCGAGATCAACTCCGTCTCACCGTTCCGACCACACTCCGCATCGTCACTGATGCTGACCTTCAACCCCGGTCAGGGAATCGTCAGCGCCGTCGTCTTCGAGCTGGGTGATGAACATCTAGGTGGAATCCGCCGACCAGGCTCCAAAGAAGTACGCACCACTATGCCTCCCCGCATCCATTACTGACCAGCACTAGAAAGAGATCTTCTGCACCAAGCAAAACATCCAAAACCAACTCTGCGACGAATCCCAACTAGGCCAGTTCCTCATCAGCGACAAAGCGACTCGTCTCGCAGGCCACCCCTTCATCACTCGAGCCGTGAATCTCACCTCGCCCATATCCATTCAATACCCTGTTCAAAAACCCGGGTTATACTGCGCAGCGTTATTTGGGTTCTCTGCGAAGACTTTCTCGGCGACACTGCAGGCAATTGAACCGAACACCACCCTGCCTGCTTTTCGAGTTGGTTTACAGACTGTCTATCGGTATTTAGGCCCGGCTTGGATCACATTCACTGTTCTGTGGACTTTGCTTCGCACCGTGGAAGCCCGTTCGGCAGTTTGTTGGCTTCTGCCTCTGTCTGTCGTGCAAGTGGCATTTCGATGGGCTGGTCTGGGGTTGGGTGAACGGGCTCCTACCATCTTGATCATCTCGTGGCATGTCATCGAGATCTTACAAAACAGTATCGTTCTGGTTCATAGCCACGATTCTTTGAACCGCCAAAGATCTCGCCGGTCGTGGTTTGTGGGTATCTTCCTCATCCTTTATCTGGTCCTGTCGACTGCCATGGCCGTGGCCGACTACACGGCCACAGTCGAAAGTCCCATACCGGCTTATTGCAACATCGTGCTTGGGATCCTCCTAACCATGTACATTGCGGTCCATATCTTCTGGCTCTGGCGGGAATCCCGTTCAGCTAGCCGAGAGAAACTCTGGGCCGTCTCATACAATGAATTTCCTGTGCGCTTCGCAGTTATTCTGGCGATTTGTGGCATTCTTTCTCTCACAACCGCAATCTTGAACGCATGCTACGTGGGCAAACGCCTCACCCCTCTCGAATTCGCACATGCATGTTGGCAAATCCGCTACCTCACCATCGACGGACCATTCGAATTCATCTTCCTATTTTGGACACTCACCCTGGCACTCTACTGCGGTCACGAATCCCAAGCCCGGTCTATCACGATTGAGCTGGATGCGGTATCCAATGACAGTGACTCCACCGAGCCATTGACCAGCGACATGGACAAATAACCAACCTTACCAAATGTCACTTTATCTGAACAGAATCCATCAATTACACAGCATTACATTCCCCCTCCCCATTAAGCGCATAATTCCTCCCCTTCTCAATCCTCACCCCCCCATTCTCATCCTCCACCACATGTCTACTCGGATGCCAATCCTTAGCCTCGATACTCCGACTCGCCGCCCACTCCAGGATCTTGGTATAATTCCGACACGTATGCTGATTATCCACCCTGGGCCGATTCCCCTGTACAATGTCACTCCACGCATAATGCACCACGCTCACATCAGCATTACACATTAACGCTTGACGGACTTGATCGAGACAGTGGTCTGCTATCGTTAGCCCCTCCCCAAACCCAACTAGAAGACAAATAAAGAAAGGAGAACACACCAACATGCAACCACCGACAATAATCCACCGTCCCATTCGGGAAATAAAAATGCTTATCATATCGATCCCGATATAACGCCATCCGCACCACATCCAGACAATGCATCTGATGGAAGACGTCCAGCGTGATGACGTATTCGTTTTCGCGACCGGGGAGGGGGAGACGTTCCGTTTGGTCGGGAAGTTTAGATGCGGAGGATGCGTCGATGGTGGATATTATGCCCGCTGCAGGTTCACATAATCAGTTGGTGTTTGAGAAGGGGATAAGGGTGGATGGTGGTGGTGATGGTGCTGGGCATACGCACGCAAATAAGCCCCCGCCCACAAGGCATCAATCTCATCACTCGGCCAGCCCTGGAAGGCCGATTTATCGTTTTCGCGACTGCGGTTGAAGCGGTGGGGGATGTATTCGACTAGGTTATTTACAGGGGCTTTTTTTTATCACATCAGAATTAATTATAATGTCTCTCCCAGATGGATGATACTCACAGTATAGATGAAGTGATGGATCAGTACAAGTATCATGTCCTACTCTCTGAGTCGTAATCAATGTGGTGAAGATAGCTGTCAGTGTGCAGAGGAGGATGCTTGTGATGATGGATTTTGTTTGGTTTTTTTCTGCATGGTGGTGGTGGTGGCAGTCGCATTGGGTTGGATCTTTGGGGGTGGGAATGGGGATGAAGGGGTGTTTTTCGTGGTCTTGGTCTTTGGGGGTTGAGATCATGGTGTTGTTGATGTGGATGGGTGTTTGGGAGGGAGGTGTAAGTGTGGTCGTAGGTGCTTGAGTATGGTATGGTCTTTGGTACAGGAGGAGGGTTTAGACGCTGGGCTGTGAGAGAGGGTGGCCTCTAATTACGGGCATGTAAGTTGGAAGGTAAGCCCAGGCTCGTCCTTGGGCTGGTTAAAGGAGTACTAGGTACAGTGGGTGTATGCATAATGGTACTTAGGCATAAATCTGAATACTGACTAGAACGTGGACATCTATACTGAAGATGTCAAGGTTAGACATCCAACATAGCAAGAGCTCAAGCAAGCAGTGTTTTTCCTCTTCAGATGTGGTCATCATTACTTCCTTTCTCGAAGGTCGTGAGCACTCAAGGCAATTGCAGAGTGTAGACTAAGGCCACTTGACACTATACGAACAAGTCCATTTCAAATCCATCGGGAATACTCCCAGTATCATGTGAAGTTCAGCCCTTGCAATCAATACTGGATGGATCCTTAGGTTCAGCTACGTGCTTATCAGTTGGGGGCCGGAAGTTTTATTCCGGTGGGCCCTGGTAATTTTGATCGTATGGTAAGAATGGGGTCTCATTTTTTCAATTCTGTTATTTATGTCATATACCATAGTTATTAGCTGTAATTTAATGTTTACATAGATTCGATAAGGGGGTAATGATACGATCTTACTATGAAAGGGATTATAAGCTCGTATTTCAATCCTACTAATAAACCGCCGGGGTTTACCGGAGATCATCAGGGTTCACCGGAATATACGGAGTAATCCATTCTTAAAGACAGCCAAGCAATCTATACAGAGTAGCCTGTACTAATCAACCAATACCAATAACCCGCCTCGTACGGTAAGAAACCCAACTTCCATTTTAAGCATGTCGACATGGATCCTTATAATTCACCATATTAACAATGTGGAGAATCAGCCTGACGATCCCCACAATCCTTCAGGATGGACGTTACCTCCTAGATCTCGTATTCCCAATCCCTGGATCTGCAGCAGGGACTTAGCGCAGGGTTCGGGGACATCGAGAGTGGGGTAAGCAAGTTAGTCCGGGGAGAACAGCACGCCAGAGTGGCGATAAGAGCGGACACAGATAGTATGCGAAGCGGAGGCCAACTGTCAGGGTCTTTGGGATTCCCCAACTACAGAGTCAGAACGAATGCAGAACTCAACTACTCTCGTTATTGACACACTGCAGACACTCACGATGTGGTCGCGACAATGGGCCATCTCCGACCTCACAATCGCATCAATTGTACTATCGGTTATTATTCTCCTTGTTGGGCAATCTTTTCAACCGCCGGATATTGCATGTGTGAAGAATCTGTCCTCATGGTGTAGGTTATACATCTATCCTGGAGGAATTATACTGATGACGAGTCCAGCACCGGCATTCACTGCAGTGGATAGCTCCTGGCAAATGTTCCGAAACGGATTCTCGGAAAAGTCCATCTATCGAGGTCTTCCCAATCCAGCGATTGAAGAAGCGTGGAGTGATATTTTGCAAAGTGCGTAGTGAACTGCTTGATCTTCGAAACTTTCTAAATAATGAGCTAGAACATCCCGTTCTCGTCCCGGAAAGCGACACCGGGTTGGACATGGACAGCACAGATGGAGTCTCACTTGTGAAGAGCTCAGACGGTCAAATCCATGCATACCTGGAGGTTTTCCGGAATATGGCCTGCCTTAACCTCTTACGGCAGCATACTTACAGAGATGAATACGATTATACATCCGTTGATGCATTCCAAGGATCTGAGCCGGAGATTATGCGACGGGTAGATGCCTGTACGCAGAGGCTGAGAGAAGTTCTGATGTGTATAGGAGATGCAACGCCGTATTTGATTATGCTGACGCCGGAAAAGGCTCAGAAAGAGTCCCCGGATTTCAATACGTTGCATTACTGTCGTGATTTTGATCGAATTGTTGAGTGGACGAGGGATAATCAGATAGATGGTGGGGGCTTGGGGGGTCATAACTTGTATATATAATTCATGAATCATAAGAATTGAGAACGAAATAAAGATCCCCGTTTTTCGATAAGCATGGCAAGCGGAGTGCATAGCGGGAGTTAATAATAAGAGGGGATTCGCACGGTCATCAAGTACTTACGAATGGCTGTTCTTATTTATCCCCTCTCCACCCCCACACGCATCTCCCCTTCTTTAATCTTTCCCGTCGGATTCGTCCACGTGCAATAACACCACCATGCTCCTCTTAGACTCTATAGACAGCAAAAGCAGAAAGTATTCACTCCCAAGTTGCACCAACCTCATAACTTTCGTCGCCGGATGTCTTCTCGGGTCTTTTCTCACCCAAGCCCTTTCAAAAGGCGCAGACTGGCAAAGCCACCAACCCGACAAAGCCGTCCATTTAGAGCACATAGAAAGCAGTGGTTGGCTTACCAAACCTTGATCATCATCTCAAACCGCTAACAAGAGCCAAGAAAAACCAGGTCCTCTCACCAACCCAGCCAACATCCATCCGATCCGCGTCAACGGGACATACAACGCGCCATCGCCATACCGCGGTCCACCCACCCCCGAAGTCGACGCCGCATGGGAAGAATACTGGAAAGTATGGATGGTGGGTATAGACGAAGAGACATTCCAAGCATCGAACCCACAGTATCCCGAAGCTTCGGTACGGCTGGAAGAGAGCGGGCAGTATCTAGCCACGCTCGAGGCGACACATCAGCTGCACTGCTTATATAACCTCTTCCGAGCATCATATCTGGATGTGTATCAAGATGAAAGAGCGGAGTATGAGAAGGATCCCCGCAATTGGCATGAACGGGTGGATCATTGCGTGGAGATTCTGAGGCAGAAGTTGGAATGGTATGTTTCCTGCTTAAGACTGGTTTGAGTTTCGGGTTGGAAGTAACAGATGAATTCTTTGCAGTGACCGAGACACGGGCCTTATTACGTATAACTGGGTACGAGGGAAAAAGGTGCCCACGGCGAATTTCAATGTCCAGCGGATGTGTCCGGAGTGGGGGGTTATGGATCGTTGGGCGGTTCAGCGTCAGGTGTCGGAGTTACCAACCAAGCCGTCGAATGCGGTGCAGCTTTCGTTTATTCCATGATCAGATTGGACGGTTCTCAAGGGATCTGGAAGTACAAATGAGACATACAGGGATGTACAGACATGAATATATGCGTGAGCGTGAATCTCACGTACTCGGAACATAGACATTTGACAGCTGCTATAGTGCACAGCTTTGTAGATGAAAGGTTAACATGTGTATTTGATTGCAGAAAAGAGTGCTATAAATTAGTCTAGCTCATTTGTTTGCCTACCTATCGTTTCAGCAGAGATGCACTGCAGTATCTAGGCAAGCTATACTCGCCCTCAACTGAGACTCAATCAAGTAAACTAAGTATATTTCCTCCTTGATAATGAGGACTGCCCTAAAGGTTCGAAAGCAAATACCTATCTGTGGTAGACCCTGCCGCACAGTGGGCTACAAAGCCTAGCGACGGCCGCAACATAACGAACATCATGCAACGAGGCAACAATAACTAATCAGGATGCTTGTTAATACCGGCCAATATAGTAGTGGATTTGCCATTTCTTTAATGCATAGCAACTGCCTGTCCGCGGAACGTGTTTTTGTTCTTCTTGTTGTTGGGATGGTCGTGACAGACCAACGCCAGGTAGAAAGAATCTCAACCTACATCACTGTCCAGAGGGAAGGGGTGTTCATACCTCTAGTTGCTTTCTCAGCAACTCCCTGAGAGAGCAGACGGACAGCGATTGCGGTTATTGCTTTTGGTGGTGGTAGTTGTGAGGACGGTGATGATGAGAAAGTCGACCATATACCGAACCATTCTCAGAGGCACCAAAGCATGTCTTTGAGAGAAAGGCATCCGCGCCCGTATGTGAAAAGAGGCACGGCAGTCGTTTCCAAATGTCATGATGGGCCGGTTCTTGGGGAAAGCACCCACAGCCATGCAATACGAGAGCACACCGACTGAGAGGATCACAGATAGAGTGTATGCAGACATCTGCTGTCTCGCAGATGGAAATGGAGATGCAACAGCATCGCCCTTTGTGTTGACGGTTTCTGGAAGACGGATTCCATCGTCAGCCATTGCAATCCATCCCATATGTACTTGACACTTACCTTGACTCGTCTTAGGTAGCTATATTTTGTAGAACCTGAATATTCTAGGCAATCCCAGAAGATTGATCGTCAACCATTTCGATTCAATCTACATTGCAAAGTGTCTGTAGCATATCTTGACCCATCTTTGGTGGCATTGAGATGTTTTGAAGCCTGGAATCGCAAGTGGCACTGTAGCAGACTCCCAATACAAATTTGACGCTTATATGATGATATAGGTCGATGATTGAGGTTTTATACTGCTAAAGAAATAGTTAGATGGATCAGAAGAAAGGCGATTGAATGCTGACTGCCAGCGAATCCTCGACATCCACAGAAGGCTGAGTCAACACAGAGAGGTGAGCATAGTGTCACTCTACCTCTCAGCAGCCAGTCACTCACAAAACCAACAATCATGGCTTGAATAAGAGGCAGGGCAACGCAAATGCAGTGGAATCCTGAATGAAGTGTCACATCAGAGGCTATGAAGGCCTGGATAACCTCGTACCTAGTCATCAAGGTGTTGATTCGCAGGTGCTAGTGGCAAGTGATGGATGAAGTTCCCACATGAAGAGCGTTAACATGAAAAGCGAGAGTCAGGTTATGGGCTGCTTGTACTGAATGAGATGAAAGAAGCCTCAGGATTCCTGTTTGTTCTATGGTCAAACGGTTAGCTCCTGGACACATACTCACTGTCACCAACATCATCCTCATCCCCATCCCATCCACATCCATGTCCACATCCACGTCGAAATCCACATCTACACCTACATCTACATCCACCCCTACATCCACAGACATGCCTTGTAAGTGCCACCCCAAGAACCCAACTCACTTCACGCCTGTCAACCCACACTAACTAAGCCTTTCTAGCCGATCATGAAGTGAGTATCCTCCCAATACCCTATATCACCCATCCCCTCAGTTTCAATAGACGACAATAATGTTCATCGGAGTATACAGGACGATATACAATCACCATCCCATAATATCAACCTTTGCAGAATACTGGCTTTTGAAACCAACTGACACTTTAAGCAGGAAGAGCAGCAGCAGCCCCAGCACCAGCAACAGCAACAGCAGATAGCCGGGCCGGAGTCCGATGAAGAAGTATGTACATACCATTTCCATCTTGTTGTCATCACTATTACGACTCATGCTGATGATAACGTACGTAGACCCCGGAGGAGGAGGACGCCAATGAAAAAAAGCGGCGGGAGCTGAGGGACAAGATATTCATCCTCGAGGATGAATGTCAGGCCCTCGAAATCAAGAAGGAGGAGGCCCTGGAGGAACTCAGGGAGGCTGAGAGGGCATGGAAGATAGCGATGGAGGAGGTGGCCCGGGTTGAAGAGGCCTACCGAAACCTCCTGGAGGAGATTTGAGGGCCAGTAATGTTTCATTTAAGTAACTGAGCATGGAGTCAAGCTCTTCTGATAGAGGTAGCACTATTTTATGGTAGGCATTGTAGCATCATCGGTCTAATGCATGAGGCTATATTCAAAAGGAATCCCATGATATGAGAACAATTTCTGAGCCAGGTCTATACATCTTGTTACTATGAGAGAAAGCTGTAATATAATAAACCACAGAGGAAGCCCCAAGTCTTACCTCCAAGCAAGAGACAAGCACTTTAAATATCATCCCAAGTATCCAACTTTCGCAGCTTCATCTGCTTCAACTTTTCCTGAGCAAAAGGCTCCATTGCCCCCTTGTCTTCAGCACTCAGGAAGTCCAACCTCTTTGGACACAACAGTTTATCACGGTCCTCAAGAGACGTATCCCCACCAAAGAACCTCGCATCCATCATCGGCCAAACGACATCAAAAGCCCAGCTCTTTCGTAAGCCATAATGGACCCAAAAGTCTCCATTAATCCAACTCTGCCACATCTTTCCTGAGAGCCGCTGGTCTTCCACCAAATTGCCACTTGCTACGGCGCTATCCTCACGATCTTTGAGCACTCGAAGGAATGTTTCAAGCCGGGGTTGGTATTTCTCTTTCCAATCCAGCATACCCTGTGGCCATTCCTCGGGCATTTACAATAATAGCCACCAAGGTGGGGAGAAAGTATACTCGCGGGGGGCGGCGTAAGTGAATTCCCAATCAATGACAGCAGTAATTTGCATATTGTCGTCGAGCAAGATATTGGACGGACGAAGATCGTCGCAGAAGAGCTTGAATGGACCAGTGTCATTACTGATATCAAGGAGTCGGGACTCTTCTGCCAAGCCACACACAAGTTTCCTTGCGATATACTTTGAACAGCAGTCTTCTTTAGAGTCAATGGCATCATTCTGTTGAGTTTGTAAGTGCAGAATCTCGGTCTTGGCCAGACTCTTGTAATAAGATGAAGCGGTTGCAAATGACGATTGTGGGAGCATTGTAGGAGGAAAGTTTCCCAATTGGACTAGCTCATTCATGTTCATTGTCAACGGTCTGCTATCGGTAGCCCACGTATCAATTGCCATGGAACCGATTCGCTCAAAGGAGGGCTTGGAGAGCTCCAAGAGGATATCGGCTATTTGGCCGTAGAAGAACTCGAGCTTGGACTCCTCGATATTAGGATCCAGGAACGGACGATCGCTTCTTTGATAGCCTGGAGCTCGTAATTGTGTTGTGAGATTAGAAGCGTTTGCAATGTACTCCATCAAGATAAAAGGCCCCAGACTGCCAGGGCTCTCGCCTTCTTTCATGCCGTAACTGATGACACTAGGAACAGGAATCTTGGTATGTGTCTTGAGGTAAGACATTACCGCGACTTCGTTTCGGACCTTTTCTTCTGGAAAAGCGACATGTCCATGGCAAGGAAAGCGTAGCAGAGAGGCAAAGCCGTCCTCGAATTCCATCCGGAAACACAAGTTGAATGCTCCCATGCCTGCAATTCGGGCGCGGTCAGTCGCTTTCGTATTGGGTCGATGGCTTTTCATGAACTCGGTAACTGCCCGTAGAACATCAGGAGTTGAGGCCTTTGCCTTGAACTCTTCGAGTACCTCATCACATCGATCCCAAGCAACATCATCATGGTCCATCCTCATGTTGATGGTTGAGGGTGGGTAATGTAAAGTTTTAAGATGGACAGCCAAGCTTATAATAACAAGTTAGCTTCTAAAAAATAGTGTAAGTGGCAATTAGCGAACATTCGGTAGCTTTGATGGTCGCATCAGTCTCGTCAACACCCGCTTTGAGAAGTGACACATCAAATCCACTCGCAGGCTGAGGGTGAAGTTCCCATAGGTTGCCTCCTATTGGTCTATCTGGTCCTACGATTTCACTTTGCATCTAACTAATTTATGAGACTCAAAAAACTGGACTTGTGTTCATTTCAATGACTGTCTGACAGCTGCGCGCAGAAAGCAACAATAAGCATAATCAGATCTCCTAAAGAACCATGACAGGCTCCAGGAATCCGCAACGGCGTCACACTGGCTTGATGGTAATACCAGCCATTATCAATAATAAACTGCCACAAGCTCAATATTCTTCGCAACCTCCACCCCATGCTTGTTAAACATCGATAGGATCAGTTTTCCGCCCGACTGCTTTCCCTTATACCTGGTCAAGCCCATCGCATTAGTCCAGCCATCGAGCAAGAGACACCGACATACCAATAATAGGTGGTTTCCCTCTCGTTATAGAGAATCTCAAGTTCTCTCTCCATTGGGCCCGATATGACCGACTTGCTCACGGTGCCCTGAGCAAAGGAATTGCTCTTCGACTTGCCAGACGCGTCCTTGGTCCATTGGTGAATGACGGCTACTCCTTGGCCAGGGTTCATATTATTGGCGAATACAACGCTGAATATCTCATCCTGCGCGTACGGAGGATAATTGAGCTTGCCGATCCAGCCGATCATGACGATGGTTGTATCTGGACTTGGAGAGTGGGCTAGTCAAATGCTGTGAGGTGCCTCCAGGTCGTAGTGAACAGACATTCTTATATAGTGGAATTGCTGAAATGGATCAGCCAGATCTGAGGATAGCTGACGTTCTCTGCATATACGGTATATTACTTATGTCAGTCAGTCTGGTGACTTTTTTGGGGTGAAATGCTTGCCATTCAGAAGCTAATGTCTTCGCATCTGACTCCGCCGTACAGTCGGATTCTGAATCTATCTTCTTCTGCCCGGCCATAGATGACTGAGTAGATCCCCTGGCTATTGCCATTGCTTACCAAAGTCCACTCAACTCTGCTTTTCGAGATTGTGCCCAGATAGAGACGACAAGGTTGGAGATGTTCGGGAACCGGATGGATGCAGCAATGGCCAGGCAGTCACACTATAGCGGTCTGTTAAATTACGGTACCTGCCGGGCGTAACTTTGAACGGCTTCTACCTCCCTTCCCCTCCATCCATCACTGCTATCAGTCATAATGCCGATGCAGGCTTCAAAGAAAAGTGTGAACCCGCCCAAAATCCGCCGTAGCCATTCAGGATGCAGGCCATGCCGTAGAAGAGGCAAGCGAGTCAGTACTTCCCCGGCTGAGTGGGCATCTGCTAACCCTCCAGTGCGATGAGGCAAAACCCGGCTGCCGAGCCTGCGCCAGATTGTCCCTGGAATGCAGCTATGGGGTCAACTTTAGCTTCCGCAACTACAGTGCACATGCTGCATCCCGATCAGATCCATCTACCGACAGGCTATGCATAAGTAACCACTTCGGCGATATTTCAAATGCAACGATACCAGCCACGCTTAGTTCTGGGGACACTCTTGAGTTCAGCTACCTCAATCATTTCCGTGAGCATGTGTGTCATCTGCTGCCTGCAGTGTCTCCTCAAGTCGCAGACAGATTCCTCCAATCTCCTTGTCTACGGTTCGCGGCTCTCTGCATTTCAGCATCTAATCTTTCAATGCTAAATGCCCGAGTCCAGAACCGCACTCTGGTCGGTGATAGTCGACGATCTGTCTTCAGCCCGTTCGTGAATATGGTACACCACAATTATGCCCGAAAGTATCACAACCTGGCGCTCGAATATCTTCACAATGCCAAACCAGACGAGGTCCAACGTCAAGCACCTGCATTCCTTGCTGCGCATGTTCTCCTCGCCTATTACCACCATGCATCGACAGATCATCTGAGCTTTCGACTGGCGGTCGAGGAGTCCGTGCGCTTCGTTTTGCACAATCGAGAAAGCTTAACAAACTCGGCAGACGGAGCTGGATCATTGCAAATGTGGTACCGTCTATGCACTTCTCACCGACCGGCAAAGCCACCTGCGCTGCTTCTTGAAGGAGCTGGGGCTAGTACCATTGGACCGAGTCCCCTTCCAGATGTCTCTGAGCATTTATATCTTCGCTGTGTTCTGGGAATGAATTCGGATGACCTTATCTACGATATCCTCATCAAGACGCTGGAGATTAGGACAAAACTGGTGGTTTTTCGCTGTGTAGCAGGTAGCTGCCAGATGTCTGAGCTGTCGAGTGAGGTTGGCAGTCTCACCTATGAGATTATGAACAAGATGCTCGGAAGACAATGTGTACCGAATGAGTATGCAGAGGCCCGGGAAGGCTGTGTGCGAGGCTCACACTTACTGGGCTTGTTGGATGTTCAAAAAGAGCGACTGAAGGTGTGGCGGTCCAGAGTCAACAAGGATCAACTGTCAATCGACCCTCCATCGTGGTGTCAAAGGTTTCCAACCCATCGAGACGCCATGAACGGCTTGTATTACATGCTTTGTGAAATGACATTCGAGGAAGCCAATGCAGCTTCTACATCGCACAGTGCTATTGCCAACATGGCGCATAACATATGTCAGATTGCCGGTCAATTGAGTTTCAGTATGTCAAAGACATCGGATGTATACACGTTCAGTCTGGCAGAGGTCCTGCTCCAACTTGTGCTTGCCTGGCGATCAGACGAGCTCTTTCACTACATCTTGGATGTCCTGTGGCCGCAACTTGAACAGGATGGGAAAGGTTACGAGCACTCCCACTACCCGACGCATCTCGTCAAGCGTATCATAGCCCATATTGCAGCCTACTGGGGAGAAGGCCGGGCAGTAACCTTTGCTTTACCGGCAGTTGCGGAAAACATATCGAAACTGAGGCTGTTGGATATCGATCATCCAGTCAACCTGGTGGTATGTGGATACAAGGGTAGCCAGTATTTTATTGAGAAGGTTCTACTTCCGTAAGGACTCCGCTGACATGGTTCGGCAATAATTGCTGTCTTGCACTCCGTGTCGAGATTGCTCTTGTCGGGATTTGGCTACGCAAGAGGTCCAAAACGCAAAATCAGGCAGGATGATCAACCGCTGGTGTATGTACTTCAAAAATCAAGCCGCCACACATCGCCTAGACGATCATTCGACTCGGCTAGTCCACCATGGACGGCAATGCTAGGCTGTGACGCACTCGGAATCACATCCGCATCAAACCAACCGCGTCCTTGAGGCCTACTCTCGTTATCCACCTCGATCTTCGCCCACTTATGACTCTCTATTTCGAAAATCCACGCATCTGCAAGCATCTTACCTGCCCCTTGGTGTCCCAGACTACTCGGATCATGTTCCCCGAACATGGTGACCAGACATGGCTTCCCCGAAATGTGCAGCGACAGCAGGCAGCTCACACTGCGTGCACTTGGCCCTGAGATACCATCCGCCGGATACGTGATAGTATCCCAAGCGTTCCTTTCCGGGTCGAATACATCCAACGCTCCGCCTTGTTCTTTATTGCCATCGAATCCATTCATCCGGAAGACCTTGCCCTCGGCAAAGGCAATCGACGTACCGCCTCTTTCTGGCTTCGGGGCGGGAGCCAGTTCCTGCCACTGGCGAGTCACGATATTGAACGCCCACAGGTCGCACAATCGACCTTTCTCGGGACAGCCGGCATGGAGGAAGATTGTATCTTTGCCGTTGTTGGCGAGAGCATGGTAGCTGCGTCCGACGGGGTACGGGGACGGGGGATCGGCAGGGGCGACCTGAGACCAGGCACTGGCAGCTGGGTCAAGGACCCAAAAGGAGCCTGATTCTTCTATCGGGGTCATGGCTGTTCCGCCACGGCCTGAAAACACGTAGACTTTTCCGTTGATGACGGTAGATGCAGCTCCGACTCGGGGCTGGGGAGCGTCGGAGGTGGTCATAGGGGATATCCGGCTGTCTGTCACAAATTCTGCAGGTGTTAGCACTTCTTCTAGTCCAACTAGCTGCAGTGCTCACCACGGTCGACAGCTATGCGATACACCGTGGAGTTCACCGGTTCGCGGGGCTGCAGCTCGCCGCCATATAGATAGGCATTGCCAGCAATAACAGCCAGAGTCTGCGACGACCTCCGGATAGAGGCGTCTGAAAGAAGTTGTGTCCATACAGCGCGTGCCATTGTTTCTTGCACAAAAGAGAGAAGTTAGAACTCGACTTTGAAAGGGCCAGGAGAGCGCTTAAGTATCCTGGCGCGAATAGCCAGACAATCCATCTCGGTTGATCGGAAACATCTCAATACAGGCGTATAATATCACCAGTTTGAACCAAAGCGAGATGATGTCTTTCTCCCCTTTCAACCCGGATCGTGTGGGTAAGAGTGCTATACATCGAGTTAACCAGCGTATGGGTCTTACGGGCGTATAATTTGTCCGAGACGGGCTTAGCGCTGTCATGCCCCGCCGAGATATTCTGCGAAGGCAGAGTCTGTGTGGCCCCGAGCACGCACTGCATCTGTGAATATAGACTCCTTGTCTATCTTTTGGTCGGGCTATGGGATTGAGGGTATCTTTGGCTTCTGGGTGGTTAATTCAGCGCTTGCCTGGACGAGACTGGATCAAATGACATGGCTATTGCCTAGTATGGGGAGTAGAGTACTCCGAAGAGCAATTTGATGACTTATACTGCCCTTAGTACCTTCAGCTTGACCACCTAGGTATATCAACTGGGAGATATATTATTAATCCCTGGTGGATGCGGCATGATTAGTCCAGATCCATGTTTGGATATTCTCACGACATCCAACACATGACATTCCTGCTATCTAGGCAACAGGCTAATGACTGTTGCAGTTGAATAATTCCTTCAATAACCCCAAAGTTGAAGCCTAGAGAAAGGAATTTGTCATCCGACCCAATATCAAGATCAAGGCAGAAATAAATGAAGCTGAATAATGTAGTAGTTTGTAGCAACTTCTATAGCACTTCCGGTGAACCTGATTGGTTCGGACTGGAGGATTAGCGTCGGAATAGACGACGCTGGCCTCGGACTCGGAATACCCGAATTCTGGCCGACAGTCAGTCGCCATATTCCTGGACCATGATTCTAGACTACAATTTAGCCAGAACGACCACTGCCTGGCCGAGCATGTGTCAGACTCGACTGGTCAATGATCTGTGCGACGAGGCTACAGCCTCAGGCACTGAGTCACCGCGGCCCAACAATTTTGTCGCGTCTAACCCTTTTTCCACTTCCAAGCCGGCACGACCATACCGTTTTAGTACCCCGCTGCAACTCCGGCCATCGTATCCCAGGCATCAGCCACCACAACCAAACACACTACACGCAAAGTGTCGTCATCAATAAAGCAGGCCGATACTATTAACTTCCATCTTCTCTCCTGACTCACCTTTGAGGACACCGATTGCGGACACCGCACTGCGTTAGCGTCTCGTGTTGACATTCATTCACGCCCTTCGCTCCTTGGTATGCGGGCCACCAAAAACACGAGTGGGCCTCGCGGCGCAATGATCTGACGGATTCGCAGTAAAGTCTAAATCAAGCATCTGATGCTGTCAGACCGCTAAGCCTTATTCATTGATGGAAGGTGGGTCCTGGCTTGGGAAGGGTTTTATTCCGTGGGCTCGGAGTAAATCCTGACGGAGTAGATGATGAATGACTCTTTGGGATGGAGTATATAAAGGGCATGATCCTCGTCGGATTGTGTGGTGTACATACAGACAGACATCAGCTACTTAGAAACCTTCAAATACTTGACTGTTATTTATCATCTGCCTTGCTTGAATTTTACCCCTACTCCGGTGACTATACAAACCACTACCACCAAACCACATCACCAATATCAACAAACCCCATCTTCTCCCAAAAACCTCAAAACCAACCAAAAACATCATGTCTCCCTCAATCAAATCCTCCACATCGACCGCCACCCTCTCCGATGCCTCCTCCACACACAGCGTCTCCTCCACCGCCTCAACAATCAAAAACCTCACCTCCTCGAGCAAAAAGTGGCTCTCCCGCAAAGACTCCAACGACGAGACCACTAAACCAGCCGAGACTAAGCCCGTCTCGCCTAAGCCCGCCAAAAAGAAGCCGCTCAACCCGTCTACCAACTACACTACTCTTGCTACTTATTTGTCTTTGAAATAAGCGCCCAGTTTGGTGCGGACATACAAGATATTCTATGGGGAGGAGTGGGTGGATTGGACTATAACGACATTATGCGCGTGCTTTGCAGTGGTATCTGTTCTTCGCTCGGTTTTGCTTGGGTTTGGCGTTGGGATAAAAGATGCTTGGTGGACTGTTGGTAATAGTGAAGGATTTCATTTTTTAATGTGATATACTTAATCGAATACTTTTCTTCATCTTTTATTGTAGAGAATAAGGTATGAAATACTCCGAACCACATGCTATCTATACAGTACCCGGACCAATAAAATCCAAATCCGGACTAGCGCGTCCACGGCGCGTCCCTCACGCGTCGCATCCCATCAATCTATCATCAACCATCAATCACCCTCCAAACCCATCTAACCAATACAATTACCCTCTCCTCCAAAACAGAAAAAAATGCCCACTTACTACCCCCAATAAATGCTCCCACCAACATCCCCCCCATCCATCCCCCCCTCCTTCACCTTCTTCGACTCCGACCCAGCCCTCGACCCAGCCCTCCACCTCCACTCCGAGTGCGACATTCCCCCCTCAGAGACCTACTCCTCCGACATTGAAGCCCTACACCACCAACGCGCCGACAACATCCGCAAGAAAGTGGTCATTCAGCACCGGGCGTGGAATCTCTCGGATGTGTTTCGGAGTGACGAGGATATAAGGCCTGGTATTATACAGTGTTCTGGTGGCGTGGGGATCGTCGGCTGATTTGGTCAGATACGCCGACGAGATCGAGACAAATATCGAGGACGGATTTGTCTACGAAGAAGGGTACTAGGGATAGGGGCTCGAGTGTGGGTTTGTTGTGGCCTTCTTCGCCGCCGGTTGGGAGGATGGCCATTGTGGAATCTGTGGGGTCGGAGGGGGAGGTGCTGAAGAGGAAGAATGAGGAGGGAAGTGGGGCTGAGGCTGAGATTGAGACCAAGAGGGTGAAGATGATGGGGGGGTTCGTGGATGAGCCGGGTGAGGATGAGTGGGATGCGTTCGAGGATGCACAGGGGAGTGGGCCGGTGCGGATGGAGTCCAGGCAGAAGATGGTGGGTGGTTTTATGGATGAACCGGATGAGGATGATGATGCATGGGATGCTTTCGACAAAGCACAAGGGGGGAATGGACCATCGCAAACAGAACCAAAACGGCAGAAGATTATGGGTGGGTTTTTAGATGAGGCAGACGATGATGAATGGAATGCCTTCGAGGATGCACAACTGCGGAGCGACTTTCAGGTTCAGGAAGAAATCATCCAACGCGCGCCTGTTGATCTGCCTGAAATTCCCAGACCATCTCAGACGGAGCCAGACTTGACTCCAAAGGCTTCCGAGCCATATCTCGACCCTACGCCGGTCCCAACCACGATAGTCCCGTTTATGCCCTCTCGCGGACCGTTTCGGTCGATCCAGATCAAGACCTGCTCGGGCAAGACGCGCTATGTTCCTTTGAAGAAGGCCGCCACCCGAGTTTCCTACGAAAGACTCGTTGCCGGTCGCTCTGTGACTGCCCCCGGAAGAGCACAAAAGAGTTACTACGGTATCGACATCCACAGGCTCCTCGATGAAGCTACCAAAGAGACCGAAACACAGCCCGCCACACGACCTCCTCCGGTGCAGCCGTCCATCGAAGCTCCGATCGACAACAGAAAGGCCAAGATGGCAGCGGCCATGTGGACCGAAAAGTACCGCGCACGCAAATTCACCGAGTTGATCGGTGATGAGCGCACGCATCGATCTGTTCTGCGCTGGTTGAAAGCCTGGGAACCGATTGTTTTCCCGAATCTCGCTAGGTCGAAGCCGAAGAAGCCAGTTAATGGCCAGGAGGATGAGGAGCGAACGCATCGGAAAGTTTTGCTCCTATGCGGCCCGCCCGGTCTTGGAAAGACTACAGTAGCGCATGTCTGTGCTCGCCAGGCTGGCTACGAGGTTCTGGAAATCAATGCGAGTGATGACCGAAGCAAGGATGTGGTGAAGGGTAGGATCCGGGATGCTCTTGCCACAGAGAACGTCAAAGGCATGAACGTTGAGGTGGGTGAGGAAAAGGTGCGCAAGGCCGGTCGCCCAGTGTGTGTTGTTGTCGATGAAGTGGACGGAGTCACCAGCGGATCTGGAGGCAGCGGAGAAGGCGGTTTCATGAAGGCCTTGATCGATCTCGTCCTGCTCGACCAGAAGAATTCGACTGCCTCCTCTGAGCAAAAGGGCAAGAAGAAAAAGGGCGACAACTTTCGATTCCTGCGTCCGCTGATCATGGTCTGCAATGATGTATACCATCCCAGTCTACGACCACTCCGGGCATCATCGGTTGCGGAGATCATCCATGTCCGTCAAGCACCGCTGGAGAATGTCGTCTCGCGCATGAAGCGAATTTTCACCGTCGAAGGCATCCCATCTGACAATGACGGCGTGCGACGTCTCTGCGAAGCATCCTGGGGCCTTGCTCGCAGAAAGCAAGGTGGCGTCAAGAGCAGCGGAACAGCCGAGGGTGACATTCGCAGTGTCCTTGTTGCGGCAGAATGGGTGGCACACAAACTCCGGAACGAGTGTCCCTCAACGCTGCGGCTGACACGAAGCTGGCTGGAGCAAAAGGTCCTCAGCGCCAACACAGGCGGCAGTTCCTTCTTTAAAGGCTTAAACCGTGGCGGTGTGCGCGATCTCGTGGAGCGAGTCTTCACCGAGGGAGCCGGGTTTGCTGATGCACCTGTTGGCGTTGATTCCTTCCGCGATCCTTTTGCCAACTCTGATGACAAAGTACCTGTAGGCGTTGCGGATCTCCGGAAACGCCATGCCATCGACAGACTGCGAGAGATGGTCGACGCCAGCGGCGAGCACGACCGCTGCGTGGCCGAGTGCTTTGCCTCGTATCCGCTACAGACCTTTCAAGACGACACATTCCTCTCGAAACCCAACGCAGCTTACGAGTGGCTTCACTTTCACGACACCATGTCGTCCAAGGTCTACACCGCGCAAGACTGGGAGCTCAGTGCCTATCTCAGCCAGTCGGTCGTAGCATTCCACCACCTCTTCGCCTCGGCGCGAGGCAAAGCCAAGGCTCAGGAAGTGGACGACGAAGAAGAGGAGCATCCATTCTCAGGCCCCAGAGCGGACTTTGCGGCCTACGAAGCGCAAAAGCAGAACCGAGCCATTCTCACGGAATTCCAGTCCGCCTTCACAGCCCCATTATCCCGACTTTTCCGGTCCACCGACTCACTCGTCATCGACCTCATCCCGAACCTCATCCGAATGCTATCCCCGGACGTGAAGCCAGTCGTAGTACGCGGCAGCGGCGAGCAGCGAAGCGTGGCCAGCGTGCGCAAAGAAAGCGAACGGGCCCTCGTCCAATCGGCAGTCCGAGTAATGGCCGGCCTAGGCGTACGCTTCGAAAAGGTCCGCATCGAGAATGCCGGAGCTCACAACGGCTGGGCATATCGCATGGAACCGTATGCCCCCACCCTTCACCCTACATAACTCAAGTACTAATCCCGCTGCACAGACCCCTGGACACCCTAATCACCTTCTCGAAAACCAAAACCAACACCACCTCCACCGCCCCAGTCCGCTACGCCGTCCGCCAAGTCCTCGACCAAGAATACCGCAAGGAGAACATCCGCAAACACTCCGAACCCATCCACTCCACCAAGCACAGCAGCAAGAAGTCAGCCCAGAAGACCGCAGACGGGCTACCCGATGCATCTAAAAAGACGTCCCGGGATGGACCGAACGTGAAGCGTGACTTCTTTGGTCGCATCATCAAGGAGCCGACGCCGCAGCCGGGTGACAATGGCGAGTCGCCGGAGATGGCGGCGCAGAATGAGTCACTCAAGGCGGGGAGACGCGTCTGGGTGACGTATCATGATGGGTTTTCGAATGCGGTGCGTAAGCCGATTTCGTTGGGGGAGTTGTTGGCGGAGTTGTAGCTGTGATGCTTGGGGGCATGCAGGCAGGGTAATGATTGTATGATGGTAATGTATAGATACATAAGTTAGTGATATCCGGAATCAGTTAGCAAAGAGTACTGAACAAACATGGCATTATCTATCCAGCCAAACACAATCACATGATAATACATCCCATCTACTGCTTCAACTTCTCCGTCAACTCCGGCACGGCCTCAAACAAATCCCCCACCAACCCCACATCCGCAACCTGGAAGATCGGCGCATCAGGATCCTTGTTAATCGCCGCAATCACCTTACTATCCTTCATACCAGCCAAATGCTGAATGGCGCCGGAGATACCCGCACAGAGATACAACTGCGGTGCGACATTCTTGCCCGTCTGTCCGACCTGCAGACTGTTATCCACGAACCCGGAGTCCACGGCCGCGCGAGACGCGCCCACCGCCGCACCCAACGTATCCGCCAACGGAACAATCAGACGCTCGAACTCCTCCTTGTTCTTGAGACCCCGTCCACCACTCACGACCCGCGACGCGGTCCCCAGATCCGGACGCTCCGATTTGGCTAGTTCCTCCGAAACCCATTCGGTTTGCAGGGGGGCGTTGGGGTCGCTGCCTTCTTCGATGGAGGCGCTGCCGCCGGTCGTCTCGACGCCTTGGAAGGATGTGCCCCGCACGGTGAGGACTTTGATGGCGTCGGTCGATTGCACGGTTAGGATGGCGTTGCCGGCGTAGATGGGGCGGACGAAGGCTGTTCTTGTTAACTACCCATGCCCATATACCTAAACGTGGTAGAAGGAGGGGCGTGCTCCGACACCGGAGAAAACCCAAAAGGCAGAGGGGTGGGGGACATACTATCCTCGCTCTCAATGCCCGTGATATCCGAAACCTGCTGAACATCCAACAATGCCGCGACACGAGGCAACAGACTCTTTCCGAACGCCGAGTGGCCGGCTACGATGTGCGTGTATTCGCCTTTCTGGATGTTTTCGACGAGGAGAGGGGCGTAGTTCTCGGGGAGGCCCTACACCGGTTATATCTATTAGCGTATAATTCTACCTTCTTCTCTGCTTGTCTTGCTTGTGTAGCTTGTAGTCCGGCTGAATGGGAGGGATAGATACCTTCTCATAAGCCTCATTCTCCACCGCAATCACCTTCTCCAAGCCCTTAATCTGCGCCGCCTCGGCAGCAGAAGTCCCCTTGACACCAGCACCCGCCACAAAAGCCGTCACGGGCCCACCGAGCTTCTGAGCTGCAGCGATAGCGGACAGAGAAGAGGACTGGAGCTTGCCGTCGCGCTGTTCGAGGACGGCGAGGGTGGAGAGCAGGCGGGCGAGCGCGGAGGTTGAGGCGGTGATGGAGGGGGTGGTGCGGGCGGCGCGCAGGGCGCGCAAGGCGGAGAATCGTGCTTGGGGGAGAAGCATGATGTTTGCGCGTATGGTGGTGGTGGTTGAGACTGGAGAGAAGTGTGAGGGGAGTCAAAGGTGGAGGCGGAGAGAAGAAGGTTATCGTCGGGTTCCGCCAAGCTTGCGGCGCCGAGCCGTCGGAGTCTTCGGCTGATCGCTGCCTCGGTGCCGCTGCTGTCTTGCCGGATGTGCCAGTGCACGGGTTTGTCGGTTATATTATTGCTTGATGCGTGGGAAGGCTGATGTCATGGCATGATTGGATATCGTGAATGGGAGAGATTGGATCGATGGAGTGGATGGAGGGTGGATGCTGGGTTTAGGGGAAGGTAGTATATCTTCACATGCTCGGCTTCACTCATGGATGCTTGCTCACATTGAATACAGGTTCTTTGTTGTGGATAACAGAGGTTCTCGGAATCTACCATGTCTACTCTCCGTCACTTATAAATCCAATCCTCAGACTTCAGATGCAGTGGTAAAGCCAGACCCAGCAATGGAAAGCCAACTATAAAGACACGAGGACATCCGTCTCAGTGCTTTCACATGAACTATCTCTAAACAGAGATCAAGATGAATCACTCAACAGGATCGAATGTAACAGCTCTACAACATGCACCATGACAGAGATTCATCTAGGTGTAGAGATGAGGCGCAGCTCATCCAGACACGGATGCCTGGTGCATTCCCTAATCACCATATCATGCATGCTATACGCTGAGGCGGAGATATCCTATCTATACCAGGTCGTATAGCGCCACATTATTCACGAAACCTCGCTTGATATCAAGCTCAGTGAAACCCCTGCTCAGATGCACGTGCTGAATGAAGCTGCCTAGCGGTTGCTATAAAGTCTATGGCTTTGTGTCTTGGGCTGCCCAGTCACCCACATTATTTATCCCTTCTGTTCATGACGAGGCCATGGCTGGTAACAGTTCACCGGATAGATTCCTCGATGTGCGAGGAGAGAAGCTGCCAAAGCAGAAACAGCAAAAGCAAGCAATGGACAATACCGATAGTTCTCGTGAACTTCAGACACCATCTGGTCCAGTCAAGGCTACAAGTGCCGATACCAGCACCAGCCCTACCAGTACTGAGCATCCATCCTCTTCCAAGGGCAAGGGTCAACGACTCCCAACACAACTGCGCCCTGACTTGCCATCAGATACAGCCAAACATCCCGAAATCGACCCCCAATCCGCCAGCCAAACCACCTCCAAGCAACCCAGCAAAACCACCCCCAACCTCATCTACCAACCCCACGACACCCCCTTCTGCACACAACGCTGCCTCCTGGGCCTCCAACACTCCCTCCCCCTAGACCCCAACTGCCCCAACACCCCCATGCACCAACGCCCATCCTCCAAGAACCACCACCCCATAACAACCCCCCACCTCCTCCACCTCCTCAACCACCAACTCAACACAACCCTAACCCACAACTGCACACCCCTGGGCACAAACGGCGCCCACAGCGCGCCCTTCAAACTCACCCTCACAACATACGGCTACACCTTCATCGGCAAAGGCAGCACCACCTCCTTATGGCCCGAAATCTCCCGCGAAAGCAAAATCTACAACATCCTCCGTCCCGTCCAGGGCTCCGCGGTGCCGGTCTTCCTCGGGGAGGTCAATCTCGCGCATACGTACTTTTTGCATGGGGTTGGGGCGATCAGGCATATGTTGGTTATGGGGTGGGGTGGGGAGAGTTTGAGGTGTTTGGGGAGGGAGGGGGAGATGTTTGGGGAGGGGGGGTTAGGGAGGGAGGTGGAGAGGTCGGTGAGGGAGATTGAGGAGTTGGGGGTGAGGCATCGGGATTTGCATTCGGGGAATTTGCTCTGGTGTGAGGAGGTGGGGAGGGTGTTGGTTATTGATTTTCATGTGGCGGTTGTGAATCTGAAGGATCAGAGTGGGAAGATGGTTGGTGAGGGAGAGGGGGAGGAGGATGATCATGGAGATGGAGACGGAGGGGAGAGGGTGAAGGAGGTGTGATTCAGTGCTTGAGTTGAACTTGGAGGTGTTAGGGTCGGTATTGCATTGTCGGATCTTGAGTATCTCAGGATATGGATTGGCGTGTTGTGGAGGATATCTGATATGTTTATGAATGCGATGGAAATGAACGAGCTGTACTTCTTTGCTGGATGTTAATATCAAAGTACTAAATGTCTATATCTTAATCCAGAAATGATAAACCCTAGTTGCATCATCCCCGGGTTTCATTTCCCCTAGATATTGTACTTGACATAAAGGCTATTACATACTAAGGATCACATCAACATCCATCTCATATGTCCACTCTAGGATATTTCCATATGTGAGGACAGTGAATTAGACTGCGTATTATGTTTAATGAAATCCTAGGCAGAAGGTACATGTTCCCTGCTATTTGGGGATTTCCAATTCTTTAGTCTAATATGTGCAGGTCGTTGAGTTGATAAGGTGGATGTTTTCGTCATATCGAGTCTTTTAATTTTCATATATATATTTCCGATGTTAAGATGGATGGGGCATTGAAAACTTCTGATCGGCCGGTATACTGATAATTGGATCATACTCAGTAACTTTTATTCGTCCAAGGGTATACCCTGATTATGAACAAGAAAGAAACGACCACGCCGCCGGAGGGAAAAAAAAAAGACACCCATTGCTATTGAGAATACAACCAGAAGGAAACATCAACACCCGAGGCAATGCGATTATGAAGTCGACTTTCTCTTCTTCTTGCCCGCTCCGACAGCCTTAGCTGGGGCAGCCTCCCCATCTTCCAACGCCTCAGCCTTTTGCTTCTGCAGCTTTTCTTTCCTTGCGGCCAGCGACAAGGCTTCCTCGTCATCCGCGGCGGGCTTGACCTTCTTGGTCTTCTTCGGCGCCGCCTCGATCAGCTTCTCCTCGTCGTTGCCGCTCTGCTTGCGCTTCTTGCTGCCCTCGATGGCCTTGGCCTCTTCGGCATCCTCCTCCACCACGTCCGCATCCTCCACCCACAGCTCACTGGCCAACCAAATCGGCATGGCCATCGTGTTGGCGCCCTTGATATGAACCGCCTTGATATTCCGCCATCCCTTCGTGATGTACTTCTCCGTCAGACCCTTAACCACGGCATCGACGTTCTCGGCCAGCTGCTCGGCGGTGAACTTGGAGGAACCGACACGGATGGCCGCCGTCGTGGCGGGGGCCAAATGAACGGGGGCACAGTTCAGCGCCTTCTCGATCTCCTTGGCGACAATAGCAGGAGTCGCAAACGCACTATCATCATCCTTGTTCTTGGACTTAGGGTCCTTCTTGACCTTCTTCCCATCGACCTTTTCAATCTCGGCAATGCGCACGGGAATCGGCCGCTTGCTGGACTTGTAGAAGATCTTTCCGAGAGTGTTCACCAAGCGCATGATAATGCGATCATCCGCCAAGAAGACATCATGTTCCGAGAGCAATTGTCTGCGGCTCTCGAAGCTCTTATACCGATCCTTCAATTTCGAGAATCCGATGACCTTATCGATACGGGAGGTGAGATGTTGGGGGAAGGAAGGGTCGGCGACGATGTTCTTGACGGAGCGTTGAGGGTCCGCGGTGATGAGACAGATGCTGAGGGAGGGAGAGGCGTTGAGGGAATGAGGGATGGGGATTTTGCCCGGCTTGAGACGGTTCTTGTCGACGACGTGCTTCTTGGTCGTCAGGACGAGCCACACGGCCTCGTTGTGCAGCGGGGTGTCTTCGTCATCGGAGTCGTTGTCGCCGATAAGCGTCTTCTTGGTCGATGTCTTTTCCTTCTCCTCTTGTTTGGTCTTGATGTGCCGGAGGAGGGCGGAGGAGGCACGAGAGACCTAGAACTTATCGGTCAGTGGGATGGTTGCATGGGCATTGAGGGTTGGGATGCAGGTGGGGGGGGGCACGCACTTGGCTCTTGTCGAGCTGGTAGGGAGACCCCGAGGTCACCTTGGTTGTTAGCGCCGTGGAGGACACCATTTTTGCGATTGCGGTGGGTTGGTGGTGATTCCGATGGCTTGAATGCTGCGATAATTCTATCACTAAAAAAAAATTCATGGGAAGGCGGTGGGGGCATTTTGCCGGCTTGGCGGGATTAGTCAGATCTGTCAGTCATGTGACGGTGGATATGGATATAGGAGGTTCAATTTTGGGCTGTCTGATTTTTGGTGGATTAGTCATTATTCAGTGAACATAGTGTTTTACTGAGGTATGTTGATTTACAGAATTGAGATCTACATCTAGTCGTGGTGGTGCTACGGGTAGTGAAGCAGTACTCGCGGTATAAGGTTGGGCAGAGGCTGAAGCATCGCATCGCATCAATAGTTCCATACGGAACCGTGGAAGTGGACAGCACGAGCTGCTTATACCAGTCTCCGGTGCCTGGAAGGCTCGTGTATGAATCCCGGTATCCCTTGCCGTTGCCACCACTTGATCCGTGAACTTACTTTCCAGGCTTCCAGCCCTCGCATGTACCTTCATACCACGTTCTGCAGGCCCTCGCTGACGGGAGGCTGGCTTGCCACATCTGACTCGTTCTTGGCAACTTCCAAGGCAGCGTTGCTTTTTGCATCGATGAAATAATGACCTGCAAATTGCATACCCTTCGATCTGCACAGGCCAGGCGAGGGAGTCTTCCTCTATCACCTGATCGGCAGGATATCATTTCGTCTGCTTGTTGTCTTGGTGATCGTGCAAGTCCTTTGGTTTTGGCAACAGATGTCTTCAGAAATTGCCTCCGACCAGTACCGGATTATGGCTGGCAGCATGGCAAACCTAATTCTCACGGTCAGTCCCATAGGTGGCTGTTGAAGAATCCTTGCATGTCCCATGGACCCGATGTCGTGGGCCGCCAAGGTTCCAGAATCTGATGTGTAACGGCTTTGTACTGAGCCTTTGTTCACGTCGCTTGGCTGAGAGCATGAAGGCCTAGATTTCCAGGCGCCAAGGCAATCATCAAGGCCAGATCAAAGGATGCAGGTTTTATACCAGTTGTCTCATGCGGCAATTACTCGTAACAAAGATGGAGATCAACTCCAACTTGACCTGGTCGGTGGCCAGCACGAGAACCATTGTTGGTCGATGACGCGATGCAACTGATCTGAAGAATTTATCCGTCTGCAGAGGCTGCCGAATATTCAGTTCCGGCTTCATGTCAGTAGAACATGTAAAGATAACGAACAAGCTCGCAGATTGTCTAACATAGTGGAGCACCATCACTAGACCGGATCATCCGTCAAAGTCTTAGCCCCTATTCCGGGATAGGGGTAGACAACAGTGAGGTAAACATCCAAACCAACACTGCTCCTGACCGAGACTAGATGCAGCACGTCTCCTTCAGTCCGGCGTATGGGGCCGAACAGCATGCAGCTGTCTCCGACGGATAAGAACTAGTGGAACAGCGGAGGGAGACCGGATAACGGAATGGCTCAGGTACAGCTGAACGGTGATAGGATAGACCACGGTGCCTGAAACAGTTGGGCGCTTTACTTCCCCATGGTACGGAGCACCCTCTGCACTGACTAATCGGAAGATAATTGTCCTTGAGAATCAATAGTGCATCCGAAGCGCGTCGCCAGGTACACGTCAATAGCTGATGTGTTGGGGGGTTAGTTTGCTTAAGAATTCAATAGTCAAATGTTAATGAGGCCAGTCGGAGAGACTATTAGTCGGCGGGAGGAGACACGGGATACGTGGAAATAAATCGCGAGCGGTCGTCACTCGTCAGTATACTCCGTATCCGTTGGGCAATGGCACCAGACTGGCAGACTCATGTTCAAAGCGTCGTCGGGTCCCACTATAGGCCCCCAAGTAATTCTGTTATCGATGGTTGTTGACCTTGCAGAACGCACCATCCTCTCCACCTAATCAATCGAGCGGTCGGCTCCCACTCCGTACACATCAGAATGCGGAGAAGGGACCATCAGATTGGCTGAGATCAAGATTTCCGATCGTCTCTTTCCAAAGCCGTGGGATGCGTAAACATACGTAAACGGCGGATAAAAGCCGCGCACGCAACCAGCAGCAGTGCGCTTGTCCTGTCGAGGCATCGCGGAGACCAGAACTAATGAGTCAGTCTTGGCCGCTTGGGGTTGGAGTCTCCAGTTGCCAAGCTTTGGGCCATCCGACGAGATGCAGCTGGTCGACTCGCAGTCTTGCGGTCGGCGATAAGCATGGCGGGTCCATACCGTATGGTTACCACTGGCCTTCTAGCCTCCTAGGTCCATTACACCGGTCAGTCTCAGTCAGGGGTCCAAAGTAATCTAGGTATGTCAAAGGGTCCTCACGCTGGTGGTGGGCGCAATGACCAGGATGAGAATTGGCCCGGGGGGCAGAGGGGCTGAAAGTCGGGCAGACGGCGGGCTCGTGTTCATTCTTCATTAGTATTGATAATTCACCGACTGCCCGGTGCCTGAGGTACCTGCGCCGAAGGGAGTCGCCAGACCAATCAGGCTCGACAACCATGCCGCTAGTTAAATGACGGTCTTGGCCAGGTATGACTTATACAACAGCAGACAACAATATGAATTGTGTTGCTGATATCCGACCACAGACATTCGCACCAGGATTTGGTCAAGAACTCTCGTCAGCAATGGTGATGAAACATGGGGTCCAGTCCAATGACAAACAAATCACCTGCGACAGGTGGATCACGACCGGCTATGCTAAGCGCCTCGGAGATACTGATAGAGGGCTGAAGGAAGGCTGTAGCACAGGCTGACAGCATTGCTGCAAGGACTGGATGGCATCGAAACAACACTGAGGGCCAAATGATCAGTCTGAAACGCACCCAACATACATCATGATGGATCTGCAGGTTAATCTACGCCAGACCCGTGATCAAGATAATCCCGGTAAGGCTGCTCTCGATAGATAGGTATTCGGGCTGTGCTAACCGATAGCAAGGCTCTGCTCACACCGAACACATCTTTGAAGATGTATCAAGCGTATTGGATATACCAATCAGCTAGTGGAACGTTGACACCTGGCAGCGCGCTTGACCGGGGTTCCTTGCCACGTTGCATGAAGATATCCGTTTGGACCAAGTGTACTCAGTACCTGCGTATGTACCCGGTGGGTAGAAAGCCAATTTTCAGATCTCAAAGTACCTAGAGATGATGAGTGAGGGGAAGAGCACTGCCCAGCGCATGATACGTCCAGTGTCCCGAGTAGCGCTATCCCTCTGATTGGTGTGTCAGGTCAATAGGCATCACACGTAGCGGTCAGTTGGTAGCCAGTGATGTGCTGCCAACCACACATCTTAGGCGATGGCGAAGAAAGACATTTAATTTGACAGGCATTTGCATGGGAAATGACGACATGTATGACGAGATGTCCAGGGTCTGCAAGCTGAGATTAACGGCTGCATGCTCCGCAACGGGCTCTAGCCGGTGGAAACTGCTCCGTTCAACTGCTTAATAGACAGATCGTAGGCAGGGAGAATCTTGGATTATTATTCTGCAGGAAGCGCACTGTCTACTTAAGTGGACTCACAATGTATGTATTTGTGTATTTTGTAGCGGGGTGTCACTGAGTTACATAGTCCATGGTATAGACATAGAATGATGATTAGGCACCAGTCTGGCTCGAACCTGAGGGGAAGTGACAGAAGTATAAGGATGCCGACATTCCGGCTACCAATATGATTTGGCCCTCCAATAGAGTACACTGAGACTGACCGAGACGAGGTGCTGGCTGAAAATACATTTACCCGCCGTCACGACGGAAAGCGTGACTGGCTGGCTGCTAATAATATTCCAGGCCAACATTGAGATCAGACATGAGACATTCCCTGGTAGGCCAAATTGTGGCAATGGTTCGGCAGCGCAGGTGGCGCTGATTGGTGTACCTGACCGGGGGGAAGGTTTGATGCCCACCGGCTGGTGCCCGAACCTCCACGGTGATTGGCCAGACGGGCCCAGAGTAATTTCGGTAAACGCCAAGCTCACTTTCAGGAACAGGAAAGCCCCCAACACGGAAAAAAAGCAAGGGTTTCAAAGGGGAAAATCACCGCCGTGGCCAGCAGCCCCAAGGCTGGCGGCTGGCCCAGTGTTCCAGAGCCTGGCGGTTCCTGTCGCAACCCCACTTCCAGCTGCACTGCTAAGAGGTTCTCACGTTGCGCCGTGGATGTCGATTTTTTCTAATTCAACCTCGGCGGAGGTCTTGGCTGTTGCCCCTGTCCATGATCCATCGATTCCATCGCCTGAGGACGACGAAAATACGCAGTCGTCCAGGTAGGATATCATCGAGATCAGGGACCAAACTGATCTCGTAGCATCCCCCCTTCCCAGTGGAAGTTCCCCTGTCCGAGGGAGTCTCCTAAAGTTATACTCCGGTCACAAAAATAGGACGCCCCGAGGAGAGTTGCCCGTATTGCGTACAAATACTGTAACAAGCTAATTTCCAACGCTAAATCCTAACAGCGCGCACTAACACCCGCCGATGTCTTTCAGCGGTTGAGCCTGTTGCCGGTGGGCCCCCCTGATGAGGTTGATTATTTTTATTAGTCGTGGTATTATTATTCCCTACCAACGATTATCCTCTTTGTCTATCCACTCATTACTCGCTCTTTGGTTCCTTTGGTTCACCCCCTGGAAAGGTCAGCGCACGCCTTCCTTGTCCCCCCCTCCTTAGTCTTTTCCCACCTGCACACTATCTTCCCTCCCCCCCCCCCCCCCTGGACCACGGCGCGACTTTAGTCTTTACTCCTCCTTCATCTCCCTCCCGATTCCCTTTTCTCCTCGAGATCCCTCCACATT